CCGATATTTGACCTCTTGGTCTTATTTAGAAGATCACCGACCATTTAAAAAGATTTCATTCTTCAAATGTATGCTGCAATTAAAGTCACCCATGAGAATGATGGTTATTTGATATTTATTTCTAAGATCTGACTTTTAACTACCAGCGTCTCCTCATAATCTTCAGTACCTTCATCAGCCCCGGAATCTTTCATTTATAAAAGATTCATTTGAAACATATTACGCAGAAAGTCATGGTTGTGGATAAGTAGTATAATATTGGTTAATTCAGACACTCATTAATAGGATTCTACATGCTTACTTAGTAGATTTTAATGTAATCGCATAGCTTGGCAATAAGCAATTTATTCTCCTTACAAGAAATATCTGTAAATAACAAATATTTGTCATCGAAAAATGTTGTCTCACCAGCAAAATCTTAAGAACAACTTCAAAATTCATAAGTATTAAAACTACCGTAGACTTCCTCAACCAAACCTCCTTGGTTAATCTATTTACGCAAATTGGCTGTAAGCCGAAAAGATTGACAGTATATTAAAATGGAACTAGTTTTTCAGAATCATCAAGGTGAAAGATTTGGGGCACCCAAAAGCAAGTAGATGTAATGCTAATTTGTGAAGATAACGTCTTGGGATATCGATGAGCTCCTTAAACAACAATTACACATTATTTACATTGTTTTATCGACGAAAATTAAAGAAACTTGTGTAGGTATTAGCGACGTGAACATTTGATAAACTACATAATCGAAATATTCAGCCGTACATCCGACATCATTTGCCCTTCACATCACACTTTTTTAGTTGGGGACTACTTAAAACTTTCGTAAATACTTATTAATAGCCACAATTCTAAAATATATTACTTTAAAATTAATTTGAATATCCAGTAAGCTTTGGTCAGTAGTTCAAACTAACTAAAACTAAGAAGACAAAGGCAAACAAAGAACTAAATTTATCTCTTTTACTAAATAGGGGATTTATTTACAGTTGATTCATCACTGAGTGGTGATCAATGTCGTGTGTGTCTGGTCCTTCTTAGTGCACATCGAATCCTATCGATCAAAATACAATATGGCTACTGGTCTAGGTGACTCGACATTTCGTGCACTACGTTGAGATAAGATGGTGGTTGAAGGTAGTCAACAAGAAACCCTGGACCTAGGTTTTGTGCTACTTGGCACTCGTCAGCATGGTGTACCTGTAATCTTAAGGGAATCGATACTCCTTGAGAAAGAACTGACACACATGACACGGATCACTACCCAGCGATCGGCCGATTGTAAATACATCTTAGTCCTACAGGATGTCAGTCGCTAAGTGGTAACGTGTCTGACTGTGAAGCTGGGTGACATGGGATTAAATCCGTCAACGGGGTGGATTCCATAAGGATCGGTCGTTCACAGACCAAGTTGTGACACTATGGATCATCGTTGAGCAATCAATTGAATGGAACTCATCACTATACATCAACTTCCTCGACTGCGATCAAGTATTTAACAGAGTGGATAGGCGAAACTTATGGAACCATCTTCGACATTATAATGTACCTGCGAAGATCGTCAATATCACACGGAATTCATGAGACAGACTACACTGCAAAGTCGTGCATCGGGGCTTGCTCCCAAATATATTGAAAGTGAAGACTGATGTCAGACAAGGCTACTCACCTTCACCTTTCCTCTTTCTTCTGGTAATTAGCTGAATACTGATGATCGCCACATCTGAGGGAAAGCACAGAATACAGTGAACACCTTGGATGAAGCTAAACAATTAGGATTTCGTAAATGACCTGGTTCCTCTATCCCATACACACCAACAAATGCAAGTGAAGACAGACAATGTGACAGCATCCTCTGCAGCAGTAGGCCTCAACATGTACAAGGGGTTATACAACATCCTAAAATATAACACAGTGAGCACCAACCTAATCACAATTGATGGATAAACTCTGAAACGAGTGGAAGCTTTCACGTACCTGGACAGCATCATCGGTGTACAAGGAGGATCTGATTTAGATGTAAAGGCACTGGTTTGCAAAACAATGGCGGCATTCCCTCAGTCGAAGAACAGATGGAACTCAAAACCACTGTCAACCAACACCAAGGTCAGAATTTTCAATACATATGTCACAACAATCCTATTTTGCGGAGCTGAAACTTGGAGAACTAATACAATCATGATCATGATCATGATCATCATCAACAAGAACAATAACCTACTGCGGTAGAGAACATACTAACTTCCAGCTGAAGAGGAAACTACGAAGACACTGGGTGTGGATAGGACACACATTTCAGAAATCGCCAAACTGAATCACGAAGAAAGCCCAAACTTGGACTCCTGAAGGCGAAAAGAGAAGAGTCCTGTGCTCCACGATAGGCTTAACCCTTCTAATTCCTATGGGTCCTAGGAGTCTCAATAAAAAAGATGTATCCCTTGTTGTTGAATGGATTTATTGAATTCACTTAATGTCCTGTTTCCAGGATGTGGCATGTTATCAACCGTCTTGTACCCTAAGACGTTGCTTCTTGAGAATATGATTAACAAAACGTGCAGATATCCGTCTTCCTAACTTTTCATTAAAGTTTGACAGGTATTTATCTACTTTTTTTGTATTATTGAGCATCGAGGTATTTAGTTGCTTCAAGTGTACTTTTTAAATGTGTATTCAGTCTTTGGTATTCAACAATACATTTGATTATAAGTGCGGATAGACGTTTAATCCAAGACAATTATTTATCACTTCATACTCTTTTTTATCTTTCATGTTAAACATAAATCTCTGGTTGTGTTAGAATGTTTGCATTGGACGATATTGATAGCTCATAGGAAAGAAGCGACAAAAGTTTATACACTGCCTGCCCCGAGTTTCTTATTTATGTGCCTCTGTCAAGTCACATCATTCCGTCGGGAAATATCTAGATGCAGGAAATAGAACGCATAATTCCTATTACATTTCACTGTAAATCTGATTTTAAGGTAAACTTTATTAAAGGTTTCAAGTATTAACTTTGCAAGATTTATGTCTAGGGTCTCTCATGTGTTTTTAAAATCTTTCCTAAAATTTATTCTTTTGTGATAATCATGCTTTAGATACACTCAGAGTGGTAGGATCAGCTATAGGAAACAAGAAGAGAATACATATTGATTTATGATAATACTCGCTCATCACTTGAACACATTCTGTTCTTTCTGCAAGAGTGTGTTTTGACTAGCAATTATTATTGTTCACTTCATGTCCCCACTACTGGAAAGCCTACCCTACCGTAGAAGTAGCTAATTAGAGATCAGGTTTGTTACTGTATCATAAACTGAATGTTTACATTGTTGAAGAGACTTATGAAGTAGGTCAGTTTGTATTATTACATAGTTCAGCCTACTGTTATCTAGACTAGCCATGAGGCTATCGGCTAATATACTAATTTGTGAACTGGTCCCTGGTATTTCATAGCTTCGTCTGTAAATAATTTTGCCGATTCTGAATTTAGCATTGTTGATACATGTTAGTGGGAGTCATTTAGATTTCAAAACTAAAAGGAACATGAGATTTGAACACTGGTAACTTTCATTTGTTGTTTTAATAATAGGTAACTTTTGAACAAACTAGCGATATCATAGGTTCTTGGCAGTACATCTGAGTTATTGTTTGTGGTTAATGTTGCCGGTTGTCTAGTGATAGATGATAAATATTTTGGCTAGATGAAATATTGTGATACATTATAGCATCATCTGGAATGACAGATCATAAACACAGGGTAAACGATATCCACAAGAGTATACCTGATGGTCCTACAGACTTCACCATCGATTATTATTTTGACCGGTTAAACTATATGCACGATTTGATTTTTCATACGATGAATACTACATAGCTACAATAGAAGTATGATGTTTGATTGTAAGAACCTAATCAATGTGGAGTTCTAACCGCAAGTTCAAGCTCATTAACACTGACCAATATAACGCCATGGAAATGAAGATCAAGTTCTTTATTGAGAAGGTCACATGGTTGGTGTACCGAAAGGCCTAAAAAGATTAACTATTAACTAAAAGACGAAAACTAGGAGTTTTAGTCTAACATATAGTAAGCTGTTCTACAAATCCAACTTAAAACTTGAATAAAATCTAATAAATGAACAAAAATAGGCTTAGTTAAGCCCTAATGGCGTTTACCAACGATTTGGTTTTCAGAAATAAAAATATCAGCCCATTTACTGCTTAGACATTACTGGGATGATATAAGCATGTATATCATATATCCAAGGTTAGCTTACAACACTTCATGTACTAGTCTACGTAGACCGATTATTTATGACTCTACTAAACTCTAGCCAGTTAGTGATAATTAATGCTTCGTGTTCGTAAGGTAATGTCAGATGTATGTTCAATTGACTAAATAGAGGCAATGGTATCAATTACGTTATTTTGGATTTATTATTTCTTTTGATAAACTTAATTACCTCTTATCAAAAATATGTGATGGGATGTTGACTCATAATTTATTTTCACCTCTATTCAGCTAACAAACAATTTTCTCTTCTCTGTGATGAGAAACGTCAGTCAGTCATTTATTTAAAAGACAAAGCAAATTTATCATGGACCTAACAAATCGGTTCAACAGAAAGAAATAGAAATAAGTCAAAATTAACCAGGTTTCATAGCCCATTCTTGAACCATGGATCTATTTTGAAATTCGACATAATAATCCAGAACATTTTCATTTTTCATCAGGTCAGCTGACATGTGTAAACTAGTGGGCCGTTTGTTGTAGTTCTTGTGATTTTTTCACACGAATTCTGCCTATTCTCATGTTTCTCAATTTTCTATACCACCCATTTGTAGCACGTGAGGTATACTTTAGTAGGTAATGCGAATTTCAACCAAACCATTTGAGAAGGACCTAATTATCCACCCCTCCTCCTAATTTTTATTGGTAGTTGTGATTATCTTATTGGATTACCATGCTATACAGACAAGAAGTTTATTGGCAATTGGTACTCTAAATGACAATAAGTGTTGGGACATATGACAGAATATTCAAATCAATTCCTCAGACAAGTAATAAAACCGTCAAACAGAAGTAATGTTCAAGCTGTAAATTGTCATAAATAGAAATCAGTTCAATAGCTTTCTTGATTAATTTTAGAAGCATCTGCCATCTGAAACTATGAGGTGTCCTGGATGTGATAGAGAAGTTTACTTTGGTGAGCACAATACTTTAAATATTATTTAAACAGCTGAGCGTGTAAGCTCATTCGGTTGTGACTGGCATCGCCAATGCTTAAAGTGCAGCAGATGTAGTAAAACCATGCTTCCCGGTTGTGGCCTAGAAGTAAGTTAATTATTAAATATTTGCTTTAACTAACGAAATTGTATCTAAAGTATTGTTTGGTGAATTATATTTAAATGAAGCGTGTTTGAAACAGTTATTCACATTGTACTAGCTAATGTTGCATTCATTTGACGATTGAGTGGTTTGGCTAGATTTCTTACAACGACATAGACCGTTTCGTTTCAAGAGTAGTATGATTTCGCTAATGGGATTCAAACCAGTTTTATGATTCACTTTACGTAGTCATAGTATTTACTTACGCTTTTTAATAACTTATTTTTTAATTGACATGGATACTGCATTGGTTCTCGACACGAAATAAATAACATAAGCACACCATTGATGATGTTTAGTAACATGTTCTCTCAAGCCATAGTTTGGATTCGATGAAAGTTTCCGACTACGTTTCTCAATGATTTGGAGAAAACTGAAGACACTGTATACATGTATAAAGTAGGGTACAGAGGACCGAGTTCAAGAATTTCAGTATTTGTAACTGGCTAGATTAAGAGTAAGATGATTAAGTTTCAAAATGAATAAACAAAGATGTTTGAATGATTTATTAAGACTGCTTAGTAATGATTTACATTTCAACAACAACATAATCTAAACCAGTAGTAACCAATATCATACGATAACAAACCATCCCAAAGACTAATAATCCTGACGACATCATATTTGCATTTCAGCGTGATGGAAAACTATATTGTACTGAACCTTGTTATAATACGCTGTTTGGACCGAGAGGTGAGTTGTTGGTAGTTTGATGACCTTTCTTTTCCTAATAAAAGTAACATTTATCATTCGACAATTATCATGACAATCTCTGTAAGAATCTGGATTTTTTGAAAGATAAACCAGTAGAAAGTGGATTTTGAAAAACTAATGCCACAGTAGCTTTCAAATTCATTTTAATTGCTGGTGTATTAGAATAATCATACATTCTAGAGCGCGACCGAAATATTCTGATGAATCAATATACATAACTATGATTGTCGAGTACTAATTAGGCTTATTCTTGGGTCTGACAGCAAATTAGAGTAAGTGACATTTGTGTAATAAAGCATTTGCTGGAATACCAAATGAAAACTCATTTGGTGCGGTTACGTTGTAAAAAAATGTGACTAAAATTTATGAGTCAATGGATAAGTAAACTTCAACATAACCAATAAACCATGAGTCATTTGACTACTCATCAATAGTTTTACCAAACAAATAAATAACTGTGAATTCACATACTAACTCTGCATTAATTTATGAAGAGGAAATAAACTTCTTACTTACGCTTGTTATTTCAACTGGAGGAACATAGACTGCCCACCAGCATTCTCCTTCCAACTCCGTCCTGGGCAATCCTTTACAGTTCCTCCCAGTTGCTATTCATCCTTTTCATGTTTGCTTCTATTTCCCGACGTAATGTGTTCTTTGGCGTTCCTCTTTTCCGTCTCCCAGCAGGATTCCAAGTTACGGCTTGCCTCGTGATGCAGTTTGGTGATTCCCGTAATGTTTATCCTATCCAGTTCCAAAGTCTTTTTTTGATTTCCTTCTCAGCTGGATGCTGCTTTGTCCTATTCCACAGTAGGCTGTTGTGGATGGTATACGGCAAACGGATGTTGAGCATCTTACGTAGACAATTGTTTATAAATACATGCATTTTTTGATGGTTGATGTAGTAGTTCCCCGAGTTTCAGCTCCATACAACAGAGCTGTTATGACGTTCGAATTGAAGATTCTAACTTTGAAATTGGTTGACAGTTCATTTGAATTAGTTTATTTTTTAGGACACAAAAACTTATCGAACAATATTGCTTTTATATCAAATGCTTAATTACAAATTCATTACTCAATGATAATAACTAGTTTTGAAGTTCATTTATAAGACAGAATTGTAAATAAAATCAGTTTCTGTACAGTTTTTTTGTGATTTCATTTCAGGTTATGGTGCGGTTCCAGACATTGATGACTTTTACGCATAATATTGAAATCTCGAAAACGTACGATCATTTTTCATTATTAACACTGTTTGCAAGACTCATGAAATAGATTTATTTAATTACTACTTATCTCTGTGATTTTAATACCATATACTTTGTAATAAAATCGCTTATCATAAGATGCGTGTTTTTCGTTCTATACCACAATGATCCGGGGTTAAATGATAGTGAGAGGTGCCAAAGGTTATCTTTAATAGACCATGATGCACATTGGTTTACTGAATAACGATCATCGTTGATAACTAATTTTCAAAGAAATTATCGGTAGAAATTTGGAGAAACGTAACACAAATAGAATAAAATCACACAGGTAAACTTCAGGTAAGGAGTAGAAATTCTCACATCGTAACTATAAAACTCAGAAGGGTTCTATTACCTAGAACGAGATTAACTCAGATAAATAATTCCTCAATATTTACATACATTGTTCAGATACACCTATGCATCATGACGCTGGAACAGTAAAGTAGGAATCTCTTCCTATTATGCTAAGTGCTACAACTTTGGAATTAGCCTCTCTTTCATACTTGAGAAGCGAACAAAGATCGACAGTCAAAAGGGATGATGGACCCACCAATTCCTCAAAACTGTTATAACCCGACGAGAACTATAAGTGGTAGATTTTGAGAACTACTTATGGAACAATACGATGCATATATTTTTATTGTATAGTTGTTATGTAACTAAACTATGCATATTCAATTTCCTCCTATTATAAGCTTTGTCTTGACCCATAGACTATTATTATGCGATTTACTGTTCTTGAGTTATGCTCAGTCTATTAATTACAATCTCCCACATTCACAGCCACTTTTGGCTAGATCTTGTACAAATATTGTTTTCTATTTTGTGGTGAGATGTGGTCTGTTTGGTTTGTATATAAATACAGTATGTTTGAAATACATGACTCACATTTTAGAGGCTGAGATTGGTGTTTTGGACTCAGCAGGCATTGCTAGGCAGGGAGACGGTCTGATAAGGATTCTAGACCACTCGTACGGGTTTACGCGTCATTGGTCTGGTCGATAAGTCGCTGTTCTCTAATTGGTGGTATCATTACGTTATATATTGATAGGGCACAAGGCCACAAGTTATGACAAAAACACAACGTAAACCCGTTAGTTTACCAATGAAAACAGTTGAAAAGGAATAATGAAACAGCAGTAAGACTTGTTGATAGAGGTCCTCGTCGAGTTCTTGAGTCCTAAAGTGGTAGTAATAAAAGATATCAACCGAGAAAAGAAAATCTAAATTTTATTAGATCTAGTTGCCAAATGAACAGAAGGCAACTTTCCCATACGGCAAAAGAATGTGTATATCAACAGCATTCGGTCCAGTTTGTTTAATATTTAAATACCCCTATTTTCTCCAAAATAATTTACTCTTAATGAGTTAGTACACTTCAATCTTCTTCAAAGGAAATGAAGCTTGGATCAGACTGACGAACATAATATGGGATTTCTTTTAATTCCAGTCACTGAAATTTTTACGAAAACAACTTCATTAGTGTCTTCCGTTAATTCCGTTCCTGACTAACGTGAAACAGTTCTTTCAAATTTAGAAATAATAATAATCTGTTCAAGTTCACCAACTCTTTTCTCCTAAATCACATATCATGGGCAACTTACATTGCTACAATTTACCTCTTACAAACAAACCCGCAAGAATCCACACAAATAAGTAAGACATATGAGTCCGAAAGTTGATACGGCCACCTCTTTTACCTTGGACTTTTGCTAAATTTAAGCTTACACTAACGTTTTTCATTCTCATTCTCATATGTACAGGATATATCTCAATAACTAACCCAATCAATGATACTTAGAAAACATCTTCTTATTACATTTAAGGGAAAAAGTTGATCTACATACACATACATATTGTTTATTGACTTGCCACCATTTTGACTGGTATTCCGAATTCAGAAATAGTTTTTCATTCCCTATACTAATAGATTGTTCACTAATATTTCCATACTAAAATAATTCAGAATCTGCAAAACATGGACACTGATAACAGATGTTTCAGTTTGTCCTCTACGTAAGTGCAGATTTATCAGATTCTGAAGAGAGAATACTTTAAATTCATGTTTAACGTCGCTTGTTAACTTTAAATATATTTCCGGAAAGTAGACCATTTCTTAGTCCGTACACTCTCCCATCGCACTCAAATCACACGTTGTATGCATGGTCCTCAATCAAGATGTTCAGCTCACTTTCTCTACTAGTTGTTCGTATAGTATGCGGTATAAACAAGAGGACAGAGAAATATATTGAAGATACATATCTGTCACTAAATATTCATGTATGACTTGATCAATACACCCCTATCAATCAGATTCATTTCATTGGACTTCAACTGCTCAAGTGTGATTTTAATTGGTCGTTGATGGCCTTGAAAATAGTGGTCAGAAAATCATGTGACATGACGGTGAGACCGATACGATTGGATAAACAATAAAAGCATGAGAGAAGTTACGTTGTGTAAGCTGTAGGTCGTGCTAGCGTTTTGTCGGTATAATTTCTCCCTTCTGTTTTTGTTACCTGGGTTTATCAGCCATGAAATGCCCTTCATGCAATAAGGAGGTCTACTTTGGTAGGTTTAATAATATGCAATTATATTAAATAGCTGAGCGGGTCAGTTCACTTGGAAAAGACTGGCATCGTCCGTGTTTGAAATGCGAAAAGTGCAAAAAAACACTGACTGCGGGTTCCCACTGTGAAGTAAGTGTCTTTGTTTACCGTATTGTTTTCATGAATAAGTTGGCTTAAAATCATTATAATATTGTTCAAACGGGAGATACGTCTGAGAGTACCCATCACTTCATACTGCCTAATTTTGCATCCCATTAAATAATTATCTTTCTTGTCAACATGATTATTTCAATTTATCTTATTTTCACTTCGTATTTGATTCAGCTTCGCTTCGCGTCGATTCACTCTTGACCTAATGTAACATTAGTATGACTACTTGTTTGTATTTGGCAAATATTTGGTCTAATTTATTTCCTGTGCTTTTATTTAAATTGACTTGCTAGTTATTTGTTCTTTGGAAAAAGTGACTTTCACTAAGTCGCAAGGTGTCATAAATCCGACTTTTTACTCATTGGGTTATTATGAATAAGGTATTATTGTGAGCAATCTATTGGAAGGTTAATTTATTTTAAATTCTCAAGTCAAATCGTTCTAGCAATACTTGAAAGATGACTGGTGGGGTTTTTTTTCTTCATTTACTTTATACTGATTCGAAGGAGTATTTACTGAGAGACACAAAAAATAGAATGATAAAGAAGTACGGCACAACCGCGTAAGTCTTATTAATGCCTATGAGCAATCTGTGAAAATGTGTTATCTTGAATATTATTCTCATTGATTAAGATCTCCTAGTGTGTTCTGTGGAATGTTCTTTGTCACGTTCTTTAGTAGTGTTAGTTTTGGTTATTACAATCACCGAAACGGTAGTGTGAACTGGTCTTTTTGAAATAGTAAACGGTGTATCAGTGTGATAGCTTTGGTTTCGTACTGCTGGTCTGAAGCCGATGAGATATCACTATCCACATAGCATTTTACAACATATCAATTAATTCTTTTCAACAGAAAAGTGTTAGTCAATGAACTTTCTCGGTGTTTTTTTTAGTGAGACATAATGAGAATTAAAAGGTTAAGTATATTGTTCGGATGTTGTGGTTGTGTATAAGACATGTAAGTTTTATTACGGAGTTGATGTAAACTAAGGACATAATACAGTGACTTTTTGCAACTGCTAATCAATATGATATTTATTTATATTTCAGCATGATGGTAAACCCTATTGTCAGACTCCATGTTACCAAGCCCTGTTTGGACCCAAAGGTGAGTGATCATCAAGTAATCGGTTCTGTTTGTTAATAAGTTGATTTGAAAGCTTGACAGGTGCTAGAATGTGTAGCATTCAATGTGGTCGCAAATGCGTTTAGTACGAACTTCCACTTGCAGTATGAGGTATAAGCTAGTGAACATTGTGTTGTTACGTCCTTCATCTGTCTGCCCAGAACATACAGGAGAAGAATTTCCTCGATCTAGGTTAAGGCTTTGACACGGTAGGCTAACTGGTTCAACCTTGAGGCTAGAATTGCGTGAGTCCGAATCGAGATATATGAATAAATATATGACTAACACGGTCACAACGTACAAACAATCAGAAAAATACAATTATATTCAAACTAAGCATTAGGGTAAAAAAGTAGAGTGCAAATTGTTACGTATAAATTACAATAGCTTTGGAATAGAAAAAGGTATGGCAGTGTATCATGCATCAAACGGAAGCTTACGCTTTATGAAATAATCCAGGAAATAAACGAAATGTTAGTATTTTACAGACTTAGAATTAAGTTTAATAATGTCCTCAAGATTAGCTCCCTTTGTTCGCCATAGCTTCTATATCTCTCTATTCAAATAATGTGTAGTTTGATTAAATTGTGTGTTATAGAGAAGTTAGTATTGTATGTGCTCATGAAAACGACTGTCGTCCTGAGTATATGTGAAGTAAATTAGGCACTTTAAGACGACAATAACAAGATTAACTACAGGCAGGTCCCCAGTATTGCAAGATAGTAGATAGGAGGGCTGTGTATATTGCCTTCAACTTGCAAACGTATGTTTTTAAGTGGAGTGAAATATCGGTCCTGATTTTGTCTATTTTAGAAAAAAAATTGTGTAGGAGAAAGTCACTGTCAAAAATTAATATTCATCTACTATACTGGCACATTTTGTTTTCAGGTTACGGATCAGTGGCCAGCAGTCACATCTACAAATAGATAACAAATTTGTTATTTCAAGTTTTGTTTATACATTCTACGTGACTACTTTTGATGTCTCTTATCCAGACAATTTCAATAGATCGCTCCTTCAAGTACTGTTAAATTACTTGATTTTGATGTTTTAACTTATGAAATAAACTCGCTGCTTACAATTTGTTTTACTTTTCACTCTCAGTTGTAAGTCCGTAATTGGCAGTGAGAAGTGGTTACTTCGGCCACGTCGTTGTATTAAATCATCGAACTGGTAAGGAAATGTGTTCATATCAAAAACGTGGGGTAATCAGCGGATGAACAAATCGTTACCGAGCTGTTGATAAGTCCGGCCTTTGTGATTTTATTTCAATCTGACTGTTTCCTTGTTACTTCTGATCATCAATATAAACTAACAGGTCAAAAACAAGTTGGAAATATACCCAGTCGCTTCTTACCAACAAATCGTCAGTCAATGGATATAGGAAATACAGATTACAAGTTTTAACTGTACGCAGAACCATGTATTCTAATTTGTTAGATCCTAGAAAACGCAAGCACGATTACAACGCATACAACAAATTTTCTCATGCCTTTATTGTTTATCCAATCGTATCGGTCTCACCGTCATGTCTCATGATTTTCTGACCACTATTTTCAAGGCCATCAACGACCAATTAAAATCACACTTGAGCAGTTGAAGTCCAATGAAATGAATCTGATTGATAGGGGTGTATTGATCAAGTCATACATGAATATTTAGTGACAGATATGTATCTTCAATATATTTCTCTGTCCTCTTGTTTATACCGCATACTATACGAACAACTAGTAGAGAAAGTGAGCTGAACATCTTGATTGAGGACCATGCATACAACGTGTGATTTGAGTGCGATGGGAGAGTGTACGGACTAAGAAATGGTCTACTTTCCGGAAATATATTTAAAGTTAACAAGCGACGTTAAACATGAATTTAAAGTATTCTCTCTTCAGAATCTGATAAATCTGCACTTACGTAGAGGACAAACTGAAACATCTGTTATCAGTGTCCATGTTTTGCAGATTCTGAATTATTTTAGTATGGAAATATTAGTGAACAATCTATTAGTATAGGGAATGAAAAACTATTTCTGAATTCGGAATACCAGTCAAAATGGTGGCAAGTCAATAAACAATATGTATGTGTATGTAGATCAACTTTTTCCCTTAAATGTAATAAGAAGATGTTTTCTAAGTATCATTGATTGGGTTAGTTATTGAGATATATCCTGTACATATGAGAATGAGAATGAAAAACGTTAGTGTAAGCTTAAATTTAGCAAAAGTCCAAGGTAAAAGAGGTGGCCGTATCAACTTTCGGACTCATATGTCTTACTTATTTGTGTGGATTCTTGCGGGTTTGTTTGTAAGAGGTAAATTGTAGCAATGTAAGTTGCCCATGATATGTGATTTAGGAGAAAAGAGTTGGTGAACTTGAACAGATTATTATTATCTCTTAAATTCACTGCTATTTTTGGCAATGAACTATGTTACGTGTATATGGTACTGCAATCCAGTCTCACTATACAAACAAACTGAAGAATGTATACAGTTCTTTCCGTCTTCAAATCTGTATCCTCTCTATGAGGCGCATATGTATTTGGTTCCCCGTTGTGCCAATCGTCTGTATTGAAATAATAGTAATAATATACCTTAATACAACGATGTGGCCGAAGTAACCACTTCTCACTGCCAATTACGGACTTACAACTGAGAGTGAAAAGTAAAACAAATTGTAAGCAGCGAGTTTATTTCATAAGTTAAAACATCAAAATCAAGTAATTTAACAGTACTTGAAGGAGCGATCTATTGAAATTGTCTGGATAAGAGACATCAAAAGTAGTCACGTAGAATGTATAAACAAAACTTGAAATAACAAATTTGTTATCTATTTGTAGATGTGACTGCTGGCCACTGATCCGTAACCTGAAAACAAAATGTGCCAGTATAGTAGATGAATATTAATTTTTGACAGTGACTTTCTCCTACACAATTTTTTTTCTAAAATAGACAAAATCAGGACCGATATTTCACTCCACTTAAAAACATACGTTTGCAAGTTGAAGGCAATATACACAGCCCTCCTATCTACTATCTTGCAATACTGGGGACCTGCCTGTAGTTAATCTTGTTATTGTCGTCTTAAAGTGCCTAATTTACTTCACATATACTCAGGACGACAGTCGTTTTCATGAGCACATACAATACTAACTTCTCTATAACACACAATTTAATCAAACTACACATTATTTGAATAGAGAGATATAGAAGCTATGGCGAACAAAGGGAGCTAATCTTGAGGACATTATTAAACTTAATTCTAAGTCTGTAAAATACTAACATTTCGTTTATTTCCTGGATTATTTCATAAAGCGTAAGCTTCCGTTTGATGCATGATACACTGCCATACCTTTTTCTATTCCAAAGCTATTGTAATTTATACGTAACAATTTGCACTCTACTTTTTTACCCTAATGCTTAGTTTGAATATAATTGTATTTTTCTGATTGTTTGTACGTTGTGACCGTGTTAGTCATATATTTATTCATATATCTCGATTCGGACTCACGCAATTCTAGCCTCAAGGTTGAACCAGTTAGCCTACCGTGTCAAAGCCTTAACCTAGATCGAGGAAATTCTTCTCCTGTATGTTCTGGGCAGACAGATGAAGGACGTAACAACACAATGTTCACTAGCTTATACCTCATACTGCAAGTGGAAGTTCGTACTAAACGCATTTGCGACCACATTGAATGCTACACATTCTAGCACCTGTCAAGCTTTCAAATCAACTTATTAACAAACAGAACCGATTACTTGATGATCACTCACCTTTGGGTCCAAACAGGGCTTGGTAACATGGAGTCTGACAATAGGGTTTACCATCATGCTGAAATATAAATAAATATCATATTGATTAGCAGTTGCAAAAAGTCACTGTATTATGTCCTTAGTTTACATCAACTCCGTAATAAAACTTACATGTCTTATACACAACCACAACATCCGAACAATATACTTAACCTTTTAATTCTCATTATGTCTCACTAAAAAAAACACCGAGAAAGTTCATTGACTAACACTTTTCTGTTGAAAAGAATTAATTGATATGTTGTAAAATGCTATGTGGATAGTGATATCTCATCGGCTTCAGACCAGCAGTACGAAACCAAAGCTATCACACTGATACACCGTTTACTATTTCAAAAAGACCAGTTCACACTACCGTTTCGGTGATTGTAATAACCAAAACTAACACTACTAAAGAACGTGACAAAGAACATTCCACAGAACACACTAGGAGATCTTAATCAATGAGAATAATATTCAAGATAACACATTTTCACAGATTGCTCATAGGCATTAATAAGACTTACGCGGTTGTGCCGTACTTCTTTATCATTCTATTTTTTGTGTCTCTCAGTAAATACTCCTTCGAATCAGTATAAAGTAAATGAAGAAAAAAAACCCCACCAGTCATCTTTCAAGTATTGCTAGAACGATTTGACTTGAGAATTTAAAATAAATTAACCTTCCAATAGATTGCTCACAATAATACCTTATTCATAATAACCCAATGAGTAAAAAGTCGGATTTATGACACCTTGCGACTTAGTGAAAGTCACTTTTTCCAAAGAACAAATAACTAGCAAGTCAATTTAAATAAAAGCACAGGAAATAAATTAGACCAAATATTTGCCAAATACAAACAAGTAGTCATACTAATGTTACATTAGGTCAAGAGTGAATCGACGCGAAGCGAAGCTGAATCAAATACGAAGTGAAAATAAGATAAATTGAAATAATCATGTTGACAAGAAAGATAATTATTTAATGGGATGCAAAATTAGGCAGTATGAAGTGATGGGTACTCTCAGACGTATCTCCCGTTTGAACAATATTATAATGATTTTAAGCCAACTTATTCATGAAAACAATACGGTAAACAAAGACACTTACTTCACAGTGGGAACCCGCAGTCAGTGTTTTTTTGCACTTTTCGCATTTCAAACACGGACGATGCCAGTCTTTTCCAAGTGAACTGACCCGCTCAGCTATTTAATATAATTGCATATTATTAAACCTACCAAAGTAGACCTCCTTATTGCATGAAGGGCATTTCATGGCTGATAAACCCAGGTAACAAAAACAGAAGGGAGAAATTATACCGACAAAACGCTAGCACGACCTACAGCTTACACAACGTAACTTCTCTCATGCTTTTATTGTTTATCCAATCGTATCGGTCTCACCGTCATGTCACATGATTTTCTGACCACTATTTTCAAGGCCATCAACGACCAATTAAAATCACACTTGAGCAGTTGAAGTCCAATGAAATGAATCTGATTGATAGGGGTGTATTGATCAAGTCATACATGAATATTTAGTGACAGATATGTATCTTCAATATATTTCTCTGTCCTCTTGTTTATACCGCATACTATACGAACAACTAGTAGAGAAAGTGAGCTGAACATCTTGATTGAGGACCATGCATACAACGTGTGATTTGAGTGCGATGGGAGAGTGTACGGACTAAGAAATGGTCTACTTTCCGGAAATATATTTAAAGTTAACAAGCGACGTTAAACATGAATTTAAAGTATTCTCTCTTCAGAATCTGATAAATCTGCACTTACGTAGAGGACAAACTGAAACATCTGTTATCAGTGTCCATGTTTTGCAGATTCTGAATTATTTTAGTATGGAAATATTAGTGAACAATCTATTAGTATAGGGAATGAAAAACTATTTCTGAATTCGGAATACCAGTCAAAATGGTGGCAAGTCAATAAACAATATGTATGTGTATGTAGATCAACTTTTTCCCTTAAATGTAATAAGAAGATGTTTTCTAAGTATCATTGATTGGGTTAGTTATTGAGATATATCCTGTACATATGAGAATGAGAATGAAAAACGTTAGTGTAAGCTTAAATTTAGCAAAAGTCCAAGGTAAAAGAGGTGGCCGTATCAACTTTCGGACTCATATGTCTTACTTATTTGTGTGGATTCTTGCGGGTTTGTTTGTAAGAGGTAAATTGTAGCAATGTAAGTTGCCCATGATATGTGATTTAGGAGAAAAGAGTTGGTGAACTTGAACAGATTATTATTATTTCTAAATTTGAAAGAACTGTTTCACGTTAGTCAGGAACGGAATTAACGGAAGACACTAATGAAGTTGTTTTCGTAAAAATTTCAGTGACTGGAATTAAAAGAAATCCCATATTATGTTCGTCAGTCTGATCCAAGCTTCATTTCCTTTGAAGAAGATTGAAGTGTACTAACTCATTAAGAGTAAATTATTTTGGAGAAAATAGGGGTATTTAAATATTAAACAAACTGGACCGAATGCTGTTGATATACACATTCTTTTGCCGTATGGGAAAGTTGCCTTCTGTTCATTTGGCAACTAGATCTAATAAAATTTAGATTTTCTTTTCTCGGTTGATATCTTTTATTACTACCACTTTAGGACTCAAGAACTCGACGAGGACCTCTATCAACAAGTCTTACTGCTGTTTCATTATTCCTTTTCAACTGTTTTCATTGGTAAACTAACGGGTTTACGTTGTGTTTTTGTCATAACTTGTGGCCTTGTGCCCTATCAATATATAACGTAATGATACCACCAATTAGAGAACAGCGACTTATCGACCAGACCAATGACGCGTAAACCCGTACGAGTGGTCTAGAATCCTTATCAGACCGTCTCCCTGCCTAGCAATGCCTGCTGAGTCCAAAACACCAATCTCAGCCTCTAAAATGTGAGTCATGTATTTCAAACATACTGTATTTATATACAAACCAAACAGACCACATCTCACCACAAAATAGAAAACAATATTTGTACAAGATCTAGCCAAAAGTGGCTGTGAATGTGGGAGATTGTAATTAATAGACTGAGCATAACTCAAGAACAGTAAATCGCATAATAATAGTCTATGGGTCAAGACAAAGCTTATAATAGGAGGAAATTGAATATGCATAGTTTAGTTACATAACAACTATACAATAAAAATATATGCATCGTATTGTTCCATAAGTAGTTCTCAAAATCTACCACTTATAGTTCTCGTCGGGTTATAACAGTTTTGAGGAATTGGTGGGTCCATCATCCCTTTTGACTGTCGATCTTTGTTCGCTTCTCAAGTATGAAAGAGAGGCTAATTCCAAAGTTGTAGCACTTAGCATAATAGGAAGAGATTCCTACTTTACTGTTCCAGCGTCATGATGCATAGGTGTATCTGAACAATGTATGTAAATATTGAGGAATTATTTATCTGAGTTAATCTCGTTCTAGGTAATAGAACCCTTCTGAGTTTTATAGTTACGATGTGAGAATTTCTACTCCTTACCTGAAGTTTACCTGTGTGATTTTATTCTATTTGTGTTACGTTTCTCCAAATTTCTACCGATAATTTCTTTGAAAATTAGTTATCAACGATGATCGTTATTCAGTAAACCAATGTGCATCATGGTCTATTAAAGATAACCTTTGGCACCTCTCACTATCATTTAACCCCGGATCATTGTGGTATAGAACGAAAAACACGCATCTTATGATAAGCGATTTTATTACAAAGTATATGGTATTAAAATCACAGAGATAAGTAGTAATTAAATAAATCTATTTCATGAGTCTTGCAAACAGTGTCAATAATGACAATTCATCCCAGTCCTCATCCATGTTCATTCCGTTATGAGTAATTTTCAGTGTTTGGAACCGCACCATAGCCTGAAGGAAATGATAAGTAAAAGTGTATAGAAATTTATTGTTTTATTATTCCTTTTGTGAAGACAGAAACCAATCTCAGTTTTCATGATTCGGTTTTCTCATTGTGATATACATCGGTGTTTATTTTTAAAATGAAATAGAGAAATGAAAACATCTTATGCAGTACTCTTTTTATTTGAGCAGATATAATTCATGGAAATCGACATTATTTTATACAGTAATTATGTTATAGGGCAGCTACTTCTGTTTGCCATTTTAATTATCTAAACTTTCCATATCTTACCTGACGTTTATCCTGTGTTGTCCTATGAATTTCATACACGCGAGTAGCATGCTTTCTTATTTCCGTATATATTAATCACGTCTATCAGATTTTGTTTTATAGATCATCAAGTAATAAAAACAGTTAGACGAACTTTCGAATGAGTAAGCAGTGAAGTAAATTAAAGCGTTGAGTTAGTTGTGGTTTCAATAGTTTTTTAATACACGTATATCCGTATATGCTGGTGTGCATTAAGAAATACACTAACATGTATATTAATTCATTGCATCATCTCCACTCTAATATAAAATCACAACAAAGTACTATTGTTTACAACCTGGAGCAACAATATATCGAGTGACATTGTTCTGGTATATCATCACTCATGTTGTTAACGAAATCCTACGTGGTACAAATTGATTAAGTAGTGCTTTCAGTAGGGTATAATTTAAGATATTTTTTTCAGACCTTTTCTATATTGTTTTAGTAGAAAGTCATTTATCAATTATAGATATTTACGAGCAGGTTCGAGTAACATGTCAGAACTATTGATATATCAGCTACCCAAGCTGAAATAGGTAGGGTGAAGTTCGGATCTACGACAAATTGGTCGATAGGCGAGTTTACAACCAACAAATAATTTCTGCGTAAATTGTTTTAATAAATGTCGAATAATGAACATTGATTTTATTAGAAAACGAAGGCTATCAAACTACCAACTACTCACCTCTTGGTCCATACAGAGTCATGTAACAAGGTTTATAACAATAAATTCGGCCATTACGCTGAAATGTAATGATGTTTGCATTAAGAAAAACATTTTGTGGTGTGATATATTATCTTATGACCCTGATTACCACTAGTTTCGGTTATGTTGCTAGTGAAATGTGACTTCATATAAATTATGATAAATAGATATTACTAAACTGATGTTATGATATGAATAAAGAAGCAGGGATAAACAACGAAAGCGATATTTTGGGACACTTTCACCTAATTCGGAATCTGTACAACATTAACATTTAGTTTTGTACTTGCTTTATTCGGGAAATTTTAAGTATTTTTATAACATATAAATTACTGTGTCTTACCTTTCAAAATTAAAACATTCAAACATGATTCTTGTATTCCATTCATTCTACTGTAGTGTCCTCGTTTGGATGTGATTGTATTTTTCACATTCCCTGTGTGTTGAGGTCTCGTTAGTTATATATTCATGTACCTTTCTTACGGTAGTTAAATCAATAACAAATCGAGTAAATATTCCAGCTAAATCAACCTCCTTCGCTTACCAATTAATCAGGTCAAATTTCAGTAGTAGGATAGTTCCTTCTCTCTACTATAAAGGTCTTTCAGTCACAAGTTGAACTCACGCGTTAAAAGTCACAAGGTCGTACTAAGTAGCCTGTCGCTTCAAAGCCGTAAAGTAAATCGAGATAACTATCTTCTTGGATATTCAGCAGAGACTAGTGGGGAGACCAATCAAGGTGTTAACGTAGTTCTGTGCTCATTCTCTAGATATGATTATCAAATCTATCATAATGTAGGGGTCGTGCTGTTTTGAAGTGACACTATGTAATAAAAGTCCAGTGTGTTGTAGAGTTTTTCAGAGGGTTAACTAAATACTATATGAACTTTCAGGCTTTTTGATAACAGTATTATTAGTAGACCAATCAAACATGTTTAGGTAAGGATTAAATACAGTTATATTTTAAAGATATCTGGTCCAATGAAGATTTTCATGAAGTGAGGTGTGTAGTAATTTGTGAATAATAATCTCACCTACATTGTCATTACATTTCACATATTGTAACCTTTTGACTTCAAGATAAAAAAATAAAGCAGATTCAAAAAATAACTCAGAGAAGCTACTGATCGTCATGGTGTTTGACGAAAATGTGACAATGAGATTAGGATTTATCATGTAGAATTACAGATGATACCCGTTGGAATCCCCTGTCATTTTTGACCCTGTATCAGTGTGAATGTATCGTCACTTACATTGTTCGTAGCACAGAATTATACATTGAGATACGTACAACTATGTGTAGATGCAACAGCGGTTGAATTTGACAACAAATAATTTTATTGAGGAAAAGATATCCTAATGGAACGTGATAAAATTAATGTAAAATTGTGAAACTAAATAAGAAAAAAGTGATGAAATTTGATGTTTTCTAAACAAATTTTAGAGTTTTATTGAATATAATTTCTCCATGTATATTCATAGCATAGTAACAAAACTGTGCTATTATATGAGTTAATGTAAGCATATCTGTCAAATTATCCTTTATTCGCAATGTTCTAACATGCATTACACCTACCTTGCAATGATAACCTGGTGTAATCGGTCTGTAACATCTTCCACACTTTAAACAGCTGCGATGCCAGTTCTTACCCAGTGTTTCAATGCGTTCAGCTGTTCAATAAAAAGCCACTATAAAATACTCACCGAAGTAAACTTCTTTGTTACACACTGGGCACTTCATTATTAAAACACACTAAACAAATAATCCAGATGCGTTGCAAACCAGCTTCTAAGTTAATATTGACTTGGTTTAGTCTTTAACATTTAAGTTGATTTATGACTAAAGGTTTTATTGTTTTTTCACGTAGGTTCGTCAGACCATTCGATCATATGATGATATACCTGCTGTTATTCAAGTTATCAACTACCAATAGACAAAATGTATCTAAAATTTTGTAATCAAATAATATGAAGCTATCAAGGTAGGTTGAGATAAGTAAATTTAAAACAGGGTGGTTTGTGATGAGGTAGAGCTTTTCAAAAATTAGATATGCGAGTAGAAAATATTTTATAGGAGATTTCGATATCATTTGAGAAAGCAATTTCTGATTCCCTTATTCATTGATCTTTAACTAATGAATTTGAATAAAGATCAATCTTATCTTGATTAAGGGTAGTTGTCTTCAGAGTTGACTTGCATTTTACTAGATTATCTATCGTTTATGGTTAACTAAAAAAGATGAAACTATTCCGATGGGTGAAAAATCTGATTGGTTTGAAAAGTCGAATGGAACTAATTTATTGAGTTTTATTATTTTTCAGTGTTAATTCAGGTGAAGCCAAATTACTGAAGCCTTTTTTTAGACTAATAGAAATCATCAGTCTGTTAGATGAGAAATCATTGGTCGAATATCAGTAAATGAAAATTGTAATTCAATATACTTCGAATAATATATGCTTATTGCATATATGCTTCCCAATGTCCCTAGATTTTCGGACGCATTGAGACCGAGTGTACTCATCACACAGCTCTAAACATGTTTAGAAAAATTCTCATTATAATCTGGTTATCCTCAAATGTGTTAGACAAAAAATAGGATGAGCTGATACTCAAAATAATTCTGAATTTTTCGTCTCAACCACTCACAAAAATACAGTTATTTGTTTGAATTTTTGTTTTCAGGGAAAATTCGAACACTGAATTTCAGATAAAAATACACTTGGTTTACTTCGAAAAGTTCAAAAATTATTACGAAAAATGATACATGATCAAACATGTGAAGTAAGAAATAAATAAAATCAAAATACTCAGTAGAATACATTAAAGACCGTACAGATATTAACGGAAACATAGAGTTACCAAATGACACAAATAAAAAAGTTCAGCAATCAGATAAAGGGATACAATAATAAAATTGAAAAAACGCATGAGAAGTTTCATTTACCCATCCAAAAATCATCATCATCATCATCATCATCATCATCATCATCATCATCATCATCATCATCATCATCATCATCATCATCATCATCATCATCATCATCATCATCATCATCATCATCATCATCATCATCATCATCATCATCATCATCATCATCATCATCATCATCATCATCATCATCATCATCATCATCATCATCATCATCATCATCATCATCATCATCATCATCATCATCATCATCATCATCATCATCATCATCATCATCATCATCATCATCATCATCATCATCATCATCATCATCATCATCATCATCATCATCATCATCATCATCATCATCATCATCATCATCATCATCATCATCATCATCATCATCATCATCATCATCATCATCATCATCATCATCATCATCATCATCATCATCATCATCATCATCATCATCATCATCATCATCATCATCATCATCATCATCATCATCATCATCATCATCATCATCATCATCATCATCATCATCATCATCATCATCATCATCATCATCATCATCATCATCATCATCATCATCATCATCATCATCATCATCATCATCATCATCATCATCATCATCATCATCATCATCATCATCATCATCATCATCATCATCATCATCATCATCATCATCATCATCATCATCATCATCATCATCATCATCATCATCATCATCATCATCATCATCATCATCATCATCATCATCATCATCATCATCATCATCATCATCATCATCATCATCATCATCATCATCATCATCATCATCATCATCATCATCATCATCATCATCATCATCATCATCATCATCATCATCATCATCATCATCATCATCATCATCATCATCATCATCATCATCATCATCATCATCATCATCATCATCATCATCATCATCATCATCATCATCATCATCATCATCATCATCATCATCATCATCATCATCATCATCATCATCATCATCATCATCATCATCATCATCATCATCATCATCATCATCATCATCATCATCATCATCATCATCATCATCATCATCATCATCATCATCATCATCATCATCATCATCATCATCATCATCATCATCATCATCATCATCATCATCATCATCATCATCATCATCATCATCATCATCATCATCATCATCATCATCATCATCATCATCATCATCATCATCATCATCATCATCATCATCATCATCATCATCATCATCATCATCATCATCATCATCATCATCATCATCATCATCATCATCATCATCATCATCATCATCATCATCATCATCATCATCATCATCATCATCATCATCATCATCATCATCATCATCATCATCATCATCATCATCATCATCATCATCATCATCATCATCATCATCATCATCATCATCATCATCATCATCATCATCATCATCATCATCATCATCATCATCATCATCATCATCATCATCATCATCATCATCATCATCATCATCATCATCATCATCATCATCATCATCATCATCATCATCATCATCATCATCATCATCATCATCATCATCATCATCATCATCATCATCATCATCATCATCATCATCATCATCATCATCATCATCATCATCATCATCATCATCATCATCATCATCATCATCATCATCATCATCATCATCATCATCATCATCATCATCATCATCATCATCATCATCATCATCATCATCATCATCATCATCATCATCATCATCATCATCATCATCATCATCATCATCATCATCATCATCATCATCATCATCATCATCATCATCATCATCATCATCATCATCAATGTCGATTGTGGTGATTTTGATGGTACTTTTTCTTTACATTAACTGGTGATTTAATTATTATTTTTTATTCCATGTGTTCATTCACGTTAGGCGAAATTGATGTATTCTTATTTTAATCTTAGAAATATTTTATAGTGCAATCAACTTAAGTACAGTCAATTAAAATAACAGATTTTCTGATTTTTCTTTTAGATTGCACACTTATTGATGTGTGAATATGCAAAACTGAATAAGAAATGAATATTTTGCTACACTGAAATGTATCATAATAAACTTAGTTTACTTTATTGTTGGTTTGTTTTTGGCAATGAATATGTTAACTAACCTACTTTAAAATTTATATATATATAATTCACCATATATGATGTATAATCGAGAAAATTGACTGATTTCTACATTTAACCTTATTTCGTTGTTGTAAAAACACTTCTTGTTATTTCAATGTTATACACCCTTGTTCACGTTTGATCACGTGAAAGAATGCTACGAACTGAAGTGCTGACTTTAATTGAAAAATGGTGAAAATAAATTTGTTTTATGTGGTTAAATTTATTATAAGTTACTGGAATATAACTAACGAAAGTTTTATGTATATCAAATCGATCTTCATAGTGGAATTTCAGTAGTAGTAATATAGTAGGACGAGTAGGGTAATAACTTGAAACCTGCAAATTAACACTATACGGCTGAAAATGGACCCAGACAGTTGGATTTGTACTGGAAGAAAGTTAAAACATCAAGGTATATTATCTCAAACATTACTTTTACTTATTCTTTCATGAAAATGGTCATTGTTTTGTCGATTACTTATTATTACTTTATGTTCTACGCTTGATTGTTAGACAGTGCTGAGTAATTTTCTCTGAATGTTTATTAATTGGTGTAGTGTTTGTTTTCTTAGCTTCAACGTCTATTATTACAATTAACTAAAATATATGCTTGTAAACCATATGAATAGTTCCACCTGTATAGAGCAGCCTTATATTTATTTTATGAATATTATTTTTATACTAGCAGAGTGGTACCCCAAAAGTCTGTAGATAGTAAAAGATTTTGTAAAAACGGTTTAAACGAAATCTATATGAAGTATATTTTTGACGCTTAGGTTGCTGAGCTAAAAAGCAAAATATATCTACATTATGTCGAAATAATGGACAAAACTTACAGCTCAGGTGGATGGCCTCAGTGTTGTTGAGTTCTTCCAGCTATACGGTCTGATTGTGAAGCTTTCATTGTGGTTCTGAATAACATCATCAGAGCTTAATTCGTCTAGAAGTGAGCTTCTTAGCTTTTCCATGAGTCTTAAATCAGCTTTTTCTGGTGTCATTAATGTAACTGGTTATCTTTGTAAGTTTGATTATCTTCGGCTGGACCTGTAATAGAATTGACTGTTTTGTTCCGTTGACCTTTGTCCAGGCTATTGCCTTGCCTTTCCCGAATGAAGATCAGGTCTAAATCAATGTGTCTGTTAATTGCTGACTAATCTAAATGTCATGCTTCGAAAAATTCTCTGCCTTTCTTGGAGTTTCCGCGATCCGGAACTTCGACGTTCTCTCAGTGGGATTAATGTCCGCAGCTGCCTACATGAACTAATATCAGTGGTATCGCATCATTTCATTGGTAGTTTATGTTAATGTATGCGTAGGTGGAAAGGGAATCCGCTTGGTCAAATATAGTGTTCGTCAAGCTTGATATAATTCGTTCTGTAGACGATATTGTATTTGTCTTTTTGTCTGAATAAAACAGAGTGGAGCGAATATTTTGGTTTGCGAGCGACATTTATTCCAAAACGTTTTGTGACCCTCGTGCTGATTTTTGAGATGCCTTTCACACATGGCGAAATCATCTTTTCCTTAGTTCCCGATGCTTATTTGTGATGGTATATTAATTTATTAATAAACAGAAAAAGCAGAAGTGCTGGAAAGTCAAGTATAAAGGAAGCAAGCCATACCAATCAAATACTAAATAACGGCAGCAACAACCCAGCAGCACACAAGACGAGTTGTATACAGACTCTATTCAAAAGAGCCAAAACACAATGCAGCACTTGGGACGTGAAAAATGGGAGGGAATTATCTCCTGTCTGTTTTCTGTAAAAATATCTACCCTAAAGGCTAGCTAATAAAGTTTCGTACAATTTTCCCATTGATCAATTTGATCAAAACATGAATTCATTTGATTTCTAGTTTCTCACTAGTCGTTTATAACACAAACATAATTGTATTACGTATTGGAAATCAGTGCACTTACTTTACACCATAATATCGGAAAAGTCCTCATCAATAAAGATTCATGAAAAAATTAGAAATTATTGAAGAATTATAAGAGATGTTCATATGTTAAATAATGTCAATCTAGAGATTGAAAATGTGAATATTCTAGAATACAAACTAAAAATAAACAAAGAGAATCATTTAACATTGAAATATCAATGTTATAGTTATGTAGTTCCTAAAAATAAAATGAAATTGACAAAGTGGAGATCAGAAAGGATAGAAAATTTAAAAAGTAAGAACGATTATGTGACAGTCATTTATGAATTAGGTTGCTATGGTAAGGTAAAATTAATAATTGAATCACTAATTTGGTTCACGTTTTTAATGGTAATTGCTTCAACAAAACAGTAAATTTAACGTACTACGTTTGCAAACTACCCTGAAAGACTTTGAGTCATGAACGCAATGAGCACCATCAAGTATATGGTGTGCAATCGCACTGTTACAATGCGCTGTCCTTTTAGTCTAAGCTTCTGTGTAATATATTCAGGGTTCTGAACACTAAGCCTCCTTTCTGTTTCTCCAATGTATGTGTTCCAGCACGTACATGTGTATTGGTAGAAACGATTAGAGGTAATATATGACGAAAATTTGTCATATATGACTGTCATAACAAGCAGATCGTTTGATACAGGAAATCGGATTGGGAACTAGAAACATCTATTTCATTACCCTGAAAGTCATGTCTTAGGAAGACAGCTTCCTTTCCATCATGGCATACTATACTTGCTTCGTTTCTGTCTTAACATACTTGGTCATGAATTTTGAGAGTAACTATTATTATGTTCAACTCCTCACTAATTGTATCCTATAGACATGATCTTTTGACGTGATTGAAAAGCCTTATATTATCTTGATATAATATCAAACTTAATTTGTGTCTAAACGGCATTGATTTGGCACCCAACGACATTGCTAAAATCAATAAAAATAGAAGTGCTGGGGGATATATATGAAAAATGCATAGATAATTACTGGTTATTTTCTTGAGATAAAAGATCTATCTACTTTCTCGTGTTTATATGAGAGTTCGTCGCTTGCGATGTGCATGTATTACTTTCTAATAGCAAGAAAAAAAATTCGACTGTGATTACACATAAACTCAAAATCACTCGGTGAGTCTCCTTATATATCGCATATCTGTATTTAATATCATGTCCAAGCCATGAGAATTCTTAAATATACTGGAACAGTAAGTCAACAGTTATATGCTGTAGTTTATTGGGAGCATCGAAAGTTTCGAAGTTGGAATAAAATGAATTCATACTTCAAGAGCAAGCAGTGAGCATAAACATGCAAGTTTACCATAAATAGAATGTGATGGACCTTTTCGCTTTAAGTTTTTGGAATTAATCTTTACTCATGGAAAAGTAGAACAAATGTCTTTTTCAACCTATCTTTTCTTGTCATATAATTACTATTGATACGTTTCCATTTGTAAGGAATTTTCGAGCATCTTCACAGAAATTTTGACTGAATTGGATCTACTTGGAACTTTACTTTTTAAAAATTTGCTGAATGTAGTTTAAACTTATAAATAACAAGAGATTAAGGAATATAATTTAATTTCGTTGTTTGACTACCAGTCATAAAAAAGTAAAATTTGTCTACGGCATTGATAAGAAGCCATTAGTAATGAAATGCTTCTGGCACTGCTACTGGAAGCCCAACATCATACACAGGTCTTAAGAGTGATTTTTAATTATTATTTCAAGAACAGCTTCTAGTTTTTTCAAATAACTTAGGTATGATCTACATTTTTATTTCGCTACCAAGCAATTCTGTCAGTTGGTGTTGGGTCCATTCTTTATTATCGACCTCTCTTATTCATAAACCATGGACAGAATTGAGTTAGATCATCATTTAAAACATGACGACACTGGACGGCCGTTTTATCCTAGTATGGGACTCCTCAGGAGCGCGCACCCACTATTCCGCTCGTGCGATTAGGCTCTACATCACTTAACCGTAATACATCGGTGTTAATGTCTGACAAAATCAATCCACATCATCGCGCGACCATTTTCGATTCTCTTGGGTGAGTAACTGTCTCACACTCGATACCAATCACCTACACTGGTTACAGCTTTTCACTAAAACTCTGGACATTTTCTCTCGAAGCTAGTTAGGACGAAACAGTCATTCAGTGCTCCTACGTTTTCAATGGTGGTCTACCTAGTCAAGTTCATGATTTTAATGGAATCTCCACAACCCCATACCGAAGATAATAATTTACTGGTATATCTAAGTTATAAGCAAATAGATGGTGGCTAGCAGTGGAATACAGGACGTGCGTTTCACCCCATTTGGGGCTCATTAGCTGGATACACGTGAATCCAAGAGTTGATGTTAACCCAGAGACTGCACATATGTCAATAAGAGACTGATCAATCGCAGACCTAAATGTCAATGCCGAGATCCAAAAAGCCAATATAAAAATGAATTATATCTAAGTTATACTACTCATAGTTTTTAAGTAATCTGAGTTTTAGTTGACTTGATTGGAAATAATTGTTTCATTTAACACCCGAGATTTGATGAACGTATCTTCCAGTCAGTCTGTTTTTAAGCTCGGCAATCGGTAATACGTTAGAATGAGAGCCACTTGTTGGTGGATATTCTTACTGAGTCTTAAATCAATAGTAAGAATGAATCCTCCGCTCATTATCTTCATTCCTTCAGTATCTTGTCTGCTGAAGTGATGAAATATTTTATGGTTTCAAGTTTGGCTATAAGTGCCGAACGACAGCGAGTTTTCGGGATTTATACACATACATATTCCAGATATCTGTTGGAACTGAAATGTATTTATTATTGTCTACTTACTATTTGTCCATGCCCCAACTAAATAATCCATTGACCGATGATATTTCGGATGTTAGCTGCAGGGTTCGATACAGGTCAGCATTATAAGTAAAACTATAGAGTGAGTTTTAGGAACCTGTGAACTGAGGTTATCTCCTATTCCCAATGAGTGCTTCACTCAATACTTTCGATCAATTTCCTATTCATTTAGTGGGTGGCTGCTGAATATTGGTGGAATTTTCACCGAAGATTTCATGTCAAGCTTTTGGAGTTATCCGCAACTTTCTCTAATGCATATGTTAGTTAAGTTCAGTCCAATATATCACATAAGAAACGCCAAAATACAGAAAGTTGGGGCTTGAAATAAAATTTTCGATGAAAAGTAGGCTTAAATACCCAGGACTCATTAGTTAAATGAACGGTAAAGTGAAAAGTGGTGCTGGGCGTGACGGACTTCGCGCAAAACTTAAATCAAACTTCTTTTTTATTCTTTTTAACTTTGTAGGGTGATTAAAACCTTTGTCTGCACTAAGCGTGATTGAATATGAATAAAGCAACACTAATTTAACCAATATATGGATATTTTTTCTCAGGCGTGTTGATCATTCTTTTTGGGCGCATATACGTAGTTTCAGCTAGTAATCAAAATTTATTTACAATATTAATTTGGGTAATTTATCACAACTGTAAAAGACATTAAAGATAAATTTTGTGACAAACTATTGTTATTTTAAAAACCACTGAGAGACGGGTAATAATCAAAGATTTCCTTTTCATATATTGAATGTTCTTCGATTCGTAATTGGATTGTGACCAAGAAGGTGAAGCCTCCAAATCAACATGATTCTGTTGTGTGTAATTTTATCGTATTTATCTACTTCATGATTTAGAACAACGAAAACCAAAATTAGGAAAACATCAATTCTGCATATATTCGTTTGTGATGGTTGCCATATGAGATATGCACCATATTGAATCTTGTAATGTTTTTTTATCAAATCACGATAAGCTAGTTATTTTTGTTTACTTACTAGTAAGATTCATAAATGTGTGGTATCATCCTTAGTGTAGTAAGAAAGAATTAGTTCGACGTTGTTATTACGGTTCGAATTAAAGTATAATATACGGGGGCATATTATTGATTTTAATCCACAGCAGCTTTTGATAAAAGTCCCTCAAGATGTCTGAAGAATGAACCATATCATAAATTTTGTAAAATAATTTATCACTAAGAAGTGCGACAGATCTTTGGACCTTTTCAATTCAAAGAATCTTCCGGAACCGCATACTATGATTGTGAACCATAATTTAGAATAAATTTTATTGAACTCCTCCACACCATTAAGTCTATGAATGTGGTTATCGAGGATTCAGTTCCTTTGTTATCAACTATTGTTTGAGATTCAATGACTGTTACTATTGTTTGGTGAACTGGCTGGCTTCAATCAACATGTTTTATGTGTTCCAAACCAATAAAGCTGAGATGTCCGGGTATTGTCTGTTGATCGAAGACTTGGTGGGGCAAACCAATTTATTGTTTAATGTAAAATCACAAAGTGGCTTGGTGAAGTATGAAAATCATACATTAAATACATCGTTTGCATTGTCTTTTTATATACTATATTATTCCTTTAATTCACTTGTTATTTAGATTGCTCGCCGATCTCCTGCTGGTAGGTATTCCATTTCCGATTGCTGCTAAACACTACTTGTATCTGTCAGCCTAAGTAGCAAACACCACACTACTACTTAAATATAAGCCGCAACACAAGCCATCCAGTCTTATTCGGCACAGTCCAAAGACAGAAAGGATATAACTGAGACGGAGATTAATTTTCACTTTCAAAATAGATCCAACATTATATGTACATTGATTAATAGCTAGTTTTCGAATAAACCTTGTGGGCGGCCTATGCTCCTTCACGAAGGGTGACAAGCGTAAGTTTTGAGTACACTCAAATCCGCAGCACTCACTATTAATTAATCAATAGCTCACATTGAGATGAATTACAGACATCGTAAGATCAAGATCCTACAATTAACATGTATAGTTGAGCTATGCCCTCGATGTTTACCAGTAATTTGATAGACGTTTCTATTGCCCCAGAATATGTTTTTGATTTCACCTGAGTCATACAACAGGAACTTATTGGTATACAAATAAACACGCATTTATATCGTTTACTGGATTATTTGAAGTTAATTTATAGCAAGCTATCACATAAGCGTAGACAATTTTATGTGTATTTATCAAAATTAAAATCAGCTGATAAAATTCGCATAATCACGTAATTTGCTGAAATTTTACATTATTCAATGTTAGGAACTTGACGACAAGTTTCGAGATACATTTCTAGAGAATTAAATACAGACAATATATACCTTCACGTTTCATTTGGCTATACAGTCCACTGAAGTTTTATATTGGGTAGATATGATGACGAATTACTGGTGCAACAGTTAAGAGATCAGAATACTTTAAAACTCTATTCTACATAAAGTCGCAAGTGTAACCTGCAAAACACAATTGAAAAAATGGAGGGAATTTTTCGAATTTTATTAGTCTTTATTTTGTGATTGGAACGATCAAGAAAAACATGAACGGTTTTTTCTTACTTTTTTCAACAAACAGTAAACAAACATATGCATACAAACAAAAATTTAACCTATTGAATCACAGTTTGACTCACAATACACTGGAAAATAGATCAAAATGTTAGGAAAGTGAGGAGGGGGATGGAGGAAGAATGAAAATGAAGACGGATAAACACCTATATGTGTATATTATCAGTAAAACAATACGAATAAAGCAAAAAAGGAAATGAGTGAATAGACGAAACAAAAAGACACGTACGACACAGGACTGCAATCATAAACAAACGATTCACAGATATTTATGTAGTGATAGCACACAGACAAGCGTTTACACGATGTGAATAAACTTTGAAAATTTCACAAAATAGTTCGCTTGAAAAAAAGGAAATGGTTCGTTATTATATCACATTCAGTTGACGACATTTTGTCAGACATGATGCACCGCCAAAATATGTTTATATGTACGTAATAGTTATAAAAATATACTAGTATTGCAAAACACCGTTACAAAAGTGCAGTTATCGTGTATATTTCGAATGATTCAGGCAGAGAAAAAAGTTAAACAAATACATAATTTATATACTTTGTTTTTAGAAAAAGAGTAAATTCATGAAAATTGGAAAATGTGAATAAATACAAATGAAATACGATTCTTGGTGTACGAAACACATAACTTATATTGTTAAAAAGATCTTGGAAAGTCAACGAAACCTACTCATTATGTATAGACAAAAAAGACTAATTCCAAGTTACTGAGAATAGAAACAAATTTTTCATGTGATATGAAAGAAAGACCATGAGGTGAACGAAAGCAAGCGAACAATCACAACAGTTTACAGTAAGACACGACTAAAAATTGAACGTACCCCCTAACAGACAAATATCACAAGACCAACACCAAAATGACATGACAGACCGCCATCTTGTAATATATATAATTTAAAGAGAGGAAATCATGGAAGTTTAATTAAACAAAAGACACAAAAAAATAGTCAATCATCGCAGTTTAAAATAATAAAACTTCGAGTCACATAGAAATAAAAGAGGCATGATAAACAGCGGTAGGCAAAAATTAGAAAAGGAATCACAGAAAAATTGATCTTGTTCAAGACCCACTTCTGAGTACTGGTGCGAAATCGTGAAGCAAAACAACAACAAGGAGTGAAAACGTCGGCTGGTATTAAGACATTTGTCACAATTCCCAGCTGAAGAGATGATACTTGACTAGCATGTCTCCGGTCGTCTCTGTTGCAGCTGTTGTCATGTTACTATCTATTTCATTCAAATTCTCATCATTGGGTATTAGAATTGATGATAAAGACAGACATGGCGGATCATTCATTGGATCGACAACAGATGAAGCAGTCATTAAACGTTGTAAAGGTTTGACTTTATGCAAGTCTAATGCATTACCCATCGTAGATATTACCTTTGAGCTGGATTTATTGGTACGACGCGGCAAACTCTCCGATGATAAAGCAAATAATTTAGACGCCGTAAAACCAGTTTGTCGAATATGATTGAAATTTTGAAGACTGTTTAATTCGTATGTTGGTGATAAATGAAACGCGAATTGACTAAGAACACTATTAAGAAATTACAAAAAGGACAGTGCTATGTGAATAAACATTGGAAACAATATCTATAAAAATTGAAAGCTGCTGAATATAACAACTGATGAAAAGCAAATAAGTACACTACAAGTACAACATTGAAATTAATGAGCGAATATGACCCGTTATGTTTTATGTGGTTAATCAATTGGGACTGATTCAGTGTTTGAGTAGATGTGACACAATTTAAAGATGGAATGTATAACACCTCAAAAATTGAATACGTATGAATATATTATTCAGTGATTAAGATCTCCGGAATTTTTCAATAGACGGGAACAGATGATAATATCAAATAGTGAGAATCTGACTGTTTGTTGTACCAATTCATTAAAACATCATTAATACGGTGCATTTATGACGCGAATAACCTAAAAGGTTGGCCCTTATGAACACATAGAAACATTAAGAGTAAAGAAGTTGTTCCCTACTAAAACGGTTACATATTCTTATGGTATGAGGAAAAGTTTAGCCACTATGCAACTCTTCACGTTTGATTAACCCAACTACGGATAAAGAAGACAAATAATAAGTAAAAATGCTGTATTCTCGGAAGATGGAATAGAGAACGTATATATATTTGTCAATTCCTCAAACAAGATTTCTATTTACAACTTTTACAAAGTTGCTGCTTCATTTTGATTGTGGCGAATCGACGAACTAGTGGTGAAATCATTTCTACCTATAAATATTTCGTATAAACTAAGGAAAATATGACTTGTTTTGTCACTCTATTTAAATATAGTTTTATTTTCTCAGCGTTTTTTAATCATATCTGGTCTGGCTGCCACCTAGCTGTTACATTAAATACTCACTTCAATATTTAGCAAGCTTACGTTTATACAAGCGACAAAGTACAAATTCATACTTCAGTTTCATCTAATGAAACAATTTATTATTATATAAAAATGAAAACTGTTTTTAACCTGTACACATACCGTAATTCACATTTAATTTGAACCCAACCAGGACTGCGAAGATATGACCAAGGATGATACCATTTACTAACTACTTTAACTGATGAACAAAGAATTTCGAACCATAGATGTAATAGTTGTTCGCTTAAAAATTGTCAGAAAAAGTAATTAAGCTAAGTATGTGAATGTTGGACATGATCATAAAACTTTAAAATCACAAGTAAAATATTTAGTACAGCTGATACTTCAGTGAAACATATTAATACGTTTGTTATACGAGTATCGTTAATTCAATCTGCCGAAATGTGAAACATCATGTTTTGAAAGCAAAACGTTATCTGACATGAGAGAATTATAACTGAAGTTTTCATTGTCTTTAAAGCGAATAACAGCGTAAGATTAAAAGAGAAAACTATTAAAATCTTCTTGAAGTTGGTTGATAGTTGATGGTGACTGCTATTTTTACATGGATATACATTCATAGCGCATACAATTTGGTATAACACGGCATCGAAAATTTACTAAACAAATGAAGTAATAAAATTGAGGAAAAAAGAAAGAGGCGAACTATCTATGGGGAAATAAACAAGAAAAATAATTTTAGGAAAGATCAGTTGAAATTCATCTCAGAAAGATTTCTTTTCTTTTAAAAGAAAGTTACGACAGCATTGCCACCAGCCTCTACGAAATCGCTAACCATAGACAAACATTTAAACTAATTAGACTATGTACTCGAGGGATAACGGTCATGATATGCAACAGGTATCATATTCCATCATCAAAGTGAAGATTCTACAAAAACCATGAGGCAGATGACTTTCCCATAAAAAACCACAACAATATGCATAGCAATATGGAGTGTATGAGCAATCTGGCAAATCGGCAGTATCATTCGAATAGCTATAGAAATGAGAAAATATAAGCTGATCAGATCATGCTTAGGACAAGTGAAACTCGTTAGACACAATCTGAAGAGAAAAGACTAACTACAAGATAAATTGTTGATTTCTCATTATCAAGGAAAAGATGCTCCACACACAAGCAATGGCGCTGATTCTCTCCACAGAACCACAAAAGCCACTAATAGGATGAGAAATCCATGTATCCAACATCAGAAACGCATCCTCCGAAACAAACAAGCAAAATTTACCAATGTTATGCAGTGCTACGTACTCAATAATGATGAAAGTGGTGATAAGGGTCAGTTACATGAGAGGTTCGAGTTTATCACATAAATGTGTGGAGACCAAACGTCATATCTCACCGTAAGTTCGAAGCAGGCATTAAAAGCATGAATAAAACTTGTTAACAAACTGAAAAGTGAGCCTAGGACCGAACTGTTTGGAATTCGCTAGTAGGTTATTTGTGCCCAAAAGGGATATCATGTTTAAGCAAGCAATATTAAGCTGGAATCAAACGCTTCACATTTATTGGATGTAACATACAAACTGGTACGAGATCCAGTATCCCATGATTTTTAATGATTCACAATAAAAACTAACATTTAATTAGCCAAATCAGAATAAGCGACTGTACTGAAGCTAAAACAAAGAATCAAACAGTTATGGGAACTTGAGTTTACAACTAGTGTTTTCCTCTGTCTATACATATACAGAAGTGTATGTTAAAAGTGGATTCAAATACTGAAAGACTGCCAAAGGGCGAATTATTAATTATTAAGCAATATTATTTTCATTTTTAGTCTTTATACGTAGAAATTTTTTCCGCATTCAGTCAATAGAAAGCAGATAAAACTATCAATTTTACATGTAAAGACAGAATCGAAAAAGCAAAAGCTAGGGAAACTACTCACTTTAAACCTGAGCAGATCAAGGAACGAAATTTGATATCCATATGAGCATTAGCTAAATCGTGTGACATGTTTATACTATGTATTGTCTGTACAAGCGTGTATGTTTTTGTGTATAGACAGTATATAAGCATTCGTAGGCGGATCGGACGCGGTGAGTAGGCGTTTTCGGGAAAGCGCATGTGATTCCGATAGTCAAAATAGAAACAGAAAAAAAACAGGTTGAGCTAAATATAGCGACAAACTACGTTGTTTGGTATGAAAATGAAGTTATGTAGCTTATGGTTGTATACATTGCAAATAATAAAAGCAATAAATAATAATAGTAATGGTTATAATAATAATAACAATAAACCCTTAAATAATCCGTGTTTCTGGAGTCAAATGACGTAAATAATTAACAATGTCACGTAATACTCTTGAAAAAAATATGGATGGGGGAAGGTAGGAAAATGCCTAAGATGGGATTTTAATCAGTTATTATTCTGAAAAATAACATTAGACTATAAAATATGTTTGTAATTATTTCGTAAAAATGTCATTAGTGGCTTAAATCAAATAGGCCAATACGTGATTAGTTATACAGAATGAGGAAGCAGGAAACAAAGATAATTACACAATGATCGAAATAAATTCAACAAATCATAAAAGGGGATACCACTTATATGTCTACTAGGACAATATTGACTAATGACGTCTCCACAAGATTCAAATGATGCTGACAGTTGAAATTTCCATGACATAACTATAAAACAAAATTGCTGTAATCAGTGAAATTAAAATTAGATTAATGGTGAGCAAAGCTGATAATACGGAAGTATACACTTATACTGAAATGTGAACATCTATGATTAGTTTACTTTTTGTCGATTTTGATTATCGTTTACATGTTTAACAACAAAGCTAAACGATAGTTGAAAGACTATAGAAAAAAGATTAATAATGTGTAAATACAAGCATGACAACTTACTCTATATAACACTTCTTCCGGACTGAGGACTTTGCCTTCTTCGTCCAATCGGAAGGTTTTACATAATACTAAACGTGAGTAAACAGAAGAGAAATCTCTTTCTACTTCTTTAGCCGCAGCTTCTTCAATAAAATGCCATGGATGACAACCAGTATCACCGAGTAGACGTGGTCGCTTCAATCCATGTGAAAATACAGCTCCAAGTGAATGGCAAAAACTAAAGGAAAACAAGCGACGCAAGTAAGAAAAAGGAAACCAGGTTTTACGAGTTTGTGTCGAGATTTTATCAGACGTTAACCAAAGTTGATTAGATTTGAGTGGCCCATTGATATAACTCTGATTTGATCGTATGATGTCAACGAAACAAGAATGTCGGCTACCCTCGTATATAATTATCGACTTGATTAGCGTTAAAAAATAAAGGTACAAAATAAGTCGAATACGAGAATGAATTTTCGATATGCATATGTAATACACTCGTTACCTCAGACAGACAAGTTCTGGGGCAATATTTAGGATTTAGAGGGGGAGAAACGAATTATTACTTAAGGCGATGTATAAAATGGCGGAATGCTTAGGAGGATGTAAAGGAAGATAGAATGTTGTTACACAAATCTTATGCATAGCCTTTCAATTAGATAAAAATCAATCATATTTGAGTGACATATTCCAAGAAATTTAGATGGGATTAGATTGCCAAAAAAACGTGAAACGTCAGGGTTAGCGATGTGTGTGTGGACATGTTATGCAATTTAATTTAGTGAGCAAACACGATTACGTTTAGTCTTAAAAATCTATCAACTTTTACTTTTGAAATAATAAGATGCCTTGAACGTACCAGTGATTTGATTTATGGGCCAAAACTACTCTGATCCAATTAATCAATGATAATACGGAGTATAAACGGAAATGTAAAATGTGTCAAATTATTTTCTGGGTAGCAAAAGATAGTAGGAGATAAGTGGTTTGATTAGTAGTTGAGAATGTTTCGTGGACTGTCGACCGTGAGTGGATTCACTAGATGTACTCAATAGCTGGTTAATGAGTGTGACTTTATGTTCCAAAGTCGTGTATTTAACTTACTAAGTTGTAAATTCTTTTGCTAATTGTACATTAGTATGGGTGTAAGTGAAATAATAAAGATTATTTAAGAGAGTTTGGAAAGAAGAGAATAGAGAGAAATTAAGAATGGAGTAATAATAACAAGTACTATAATACAACCTATAGTAGATGATGAACTTATTTCTAAATTTTATTTTTTTTTATGAAGGGAGAAAAAAAGAATTACTCTATTCTTTATCTCAATAAAAACAAATAATTAATGACCTTAATTTCGTTCCAAAAAAACTCTAGAGAAGCAATACCTAATCCCTCTACGTTAAAAAGTGGGTAGAATATTTTCTAACCACATTCTATTCACTTTAACTTATCTGTGTAGAGATTTATTATTCTGCAAAAAAACCCAATAACCTAAATTCACTTGCATTATTAATAACCAGATAAGATGGTAAACACATGTACAATTCAAGAATGCTATGACTAAGACATAATTGGCAACTCAATGGGTAAACACATAAGCCTATCAGAACAAAAATGTTGAAAAGTTTAGTCATTCTAGTTAAATATAAGTACATGCATTTTATCATCTTTGAACTTTGATCAATGTAACTAGCAAATCTTTTAAAAGGTGTGGTTATAAAAATATAAGAATTGTGATTAAGATATATAATGATTATAAAATTACCTTCCGCGAACAAGGCCAATAATTAATCTGTCTACACCATCATCACCAGCTGGAGAATAATTTTTTCCACGTTCATCTAACAATTCAACAAACTTGGCAGGAAACCAACCTCGTTGACCGTTTAGTTCACCGATCCAACAATGTTCGTCATCTGAGTTAATAATGGTTAGGATATCATTTTTATGAAATTCCAGTTCATCTAATTCAAAGCGTTCAAAATCGATCAATGCTTTGGCACGTCGTCTACGATGTTGCACGATCTGATTTTTAAACAAATGGTATGTTTAAGAAATTATAAAAATGCGTTGGTAGTTGTTTTGATTACTGTAAGTGTTTTATTACATTCTGATGTCTGTACACAAACATCTATCTTCTATTGAATGGATGGTGACAGTCAATCGAATCTCAGACGAAACGAAACATTACAATGTAGCCCGAAACCATTGACTAATGAAAACGGCTTGTAGAACAATGATTTAATAATTAGAAGCGAAATTCTGTTCTAAATTATATGTTGCAACAACGAAACAGAATAAAATATTTGTCTGCTTCTGATATTTCCTGAACAATTCATACTTTTCAGACTTACTACGCATATATATAATATACAGTATAGGACACAAATACTGAGTAAATGAGACAATGTTGTAAATGAAACAATTTTTAGATCATTTTTCTACATGACATAATAGAAATGTGTTGACAAAAAATAAGGCAATAATTAATGATTTTTAAAAATTTGTTTTGTGATCTAATGACGTAGGACATAAATATAAAATACTTATTTTTATTGAGTAGTTGGTAGATTATCTATAATTGATCGAAATGATGTAAACAATTGAGTGCAGAAATCATTTCTTATAGTGGCGACAGTTGATTGGAGCAGAAGTTTGTATGTTCAAAACCTATAGTACGAACGAAGTTACTGAATTAATCTTTTTAAATAATCAAGTTACCAGACTCTGAAATGTCGTCAAAAATCCTCAATGGATTATAGTGGTTTGGTTACAGAAGTTAACCGTTCAAAAGTCCTGAGCCAGTGCTGGAACGAAATACGTCATGGTAACAACTACGTAATACCCTGACATCAATGAATTGTCGTACAGACGCATAGCTCTACCATAACATCAGTGGTTTTATACGTGACAGCAGTATCTTTGAATGGCTACATTTACGATATTAAAAATCCCGAAAAGGACTTCAGATACAGTGATCTTGAGATCACTGAATAAATGATCATGACAATTCGATTTTTATATTTGAATATGAACACTGACGTATGTTCGTTTTCTTTTCTGCCATAATTTGGATAAGAAATGCTTTTTTATACATGTCTAGATTCACAAAGAGTTTGAAAGAGAAAGACAAAAACGAATAATTTCACGGTTATAATTAAACGAGAAAGTGTGTCGACGAAAAAGAAACTTAATATACGATGCAAATGTAGTCGGATAATGTCCTGAATTTCCTATTGGTTAGCGGGAAACAAATGTTGGTTTTGAGACATCGAAAGAATTAAGTGAAAAGTTCAAATGAGTAGTCCCAAACAAAATGGAAACACATGTAGTGCTTAATGATTCTTAGAGTTTATCCATTAATGATAGGTTTCATCAAGTGAACGACTTATACGAGATTTATATAAACCGTCATGAGGTTTCTAAGTACTGAAGACCGATGAGATCTCATCTACAGCGATAGAAAAATATAAATGCAAAGAGTTAGCACTTGAATGTTTCTCTTGCCAGATGGTTGATAAATTTCAGTTAGTAAATAACAAACGTAGAAGAACCAAACAAAATTATAAGTAGCTAAAATTTACTTGTACATAAGAATCGAGGTCTAATTTGTGACTTTCCATTGAATAATCTGCATGTGCGGTAGCGTCACCGTGTTGTTCAGGATCATTTATACGGAAGTGACGTACAATCTAAAATATAAAACAACACGATGAAATTGACAGTGAGAGACGAGTGACACGATTAGGTGGTGACCATTTTTTATTTCGAAACCTAGCATTATTTATTTGTAACATAAGAAATATTTGTCATAATAAGGCATCAAAAGAATGAGCAATACAAAATAGAATGATAGCATTGTGCACAGTTAGTAGAAAGGAAAGTCATATGGTCACTAACTAGATAGAGAAAATAGTTCTTATTATTTTATTTTATTTTAACACATAGATATTTGTACAAGGAGGCACCAAATAACATATGCGCCACACAAATCTCATTTGATTTGTATGAGGGCTCTGATACTGCCCGGGTGCCCAGACCGAAGCAGGTGATTTTCTTAGGGAGCTACTCCCGGAGCCTTTGATCTAAAGGTCTGACCCACAAGGCAGTGGGGCATCGTGGGGAGATGCAGTCCCATGGTAGCCGGTGACCAACGATTGGTTCATACGCTATTTGTTCCCTCAGGGTACTGGAGCCCATGCGCACCATTGGTTTGGAATCTGGTTAAAGCGCCGGACATTCGCTTTTCGTCCTCTCATTTTCGTAGATAACACCCTCGCCACGAGAAGGCTGTGAGTACGACTTCCCTGGTAGAAGCTATATACGTGTGGCCATGTGAGAGCATTTCGAGAGGGAGGGCGGGCCCACCCCACTCTTGGCCATACCAGGGCATTTGGAGGTTCATATATTGATGTTCCAGATGTGTGAAATTCATCTTAAATAAAAGTGACGTTACTTGAAGCTGACAAAGCAGATAGCTTTAAGTAAAACATTAAATACAATAAATTCATTTGATGATATTGTTTACTTGAATCTTTTCATTGATGTTTAGGACTGCAATTGATCAGTCTCTTATTGGTATATGTGCACAATATATCCTTTCTTTTCCAAGATTTTTGAAGCTGTTTTCGAATACCAACAAAAATCCGAACTAATGAGAGAATTGGTCAGATATATGTACCTACATCCTAGTGTTTATGTTCATACCGGAATATGCATTCGGTAATGTAATACATGAACAATTAGATCGCATTAAGTCTTGACATAGGCACAATGATGTAAAGTATCTACCGTCAGAAGTACAAGGAAACTAACTGAATGAATGTAACTCACCAGTCATGTATCTGTCTACACTAAACTGTAAGGTAAGTAAACTATAAAAAAACGGAATCATACTACTGGCATCTAAAAGCAATTCACTGTGACATTGTACACAAACAGATGAAACACTGATAATTAAAGATGTTACAAGCAGTATACGTACGTTAAAAAATATGATAAATAATAAGAACGATATAAAGAATATTAGTTGACATACCAACTGAATTGATTGTTTTAATTCTACAAGTATTTCCGTTTGGTGCACATTCTTCAATTTTGGGTCGTCCGCTTCAACGCTGCCTTCATGTAAGCTTACACTTACATATGCAGGCTTATAATGTATAGATGATGATGGCGGTGACAGCTCATTATTACCAATAGAATATTGAAATGGTACAGCCATGCCAGTAATTCGACGATATGGTTGTCCATTTGACGCTACAGATGCAAATAATGTAGTGAATAAAGATTTGGGTCGTTGAAATTGTCGTTTAGCTAGATACTGAAGGTAAAAAGTAAATAGATGAGAAGAAAAATACTGAAGAGCATTAGGAATTACAATGAACAATATAGAAAAGAGGTTATTTACATTATTATTCTAAATAATAACAAATGCAAGTAAAGTACAAGTAGTGTTTGACAACCAAACACAGTTACGATAATTTAACTATCATTAACTATGGGAGAAAGCAAAGTGAATGGTGAGAGATTTGCAATCAGCAAAGTGGTTATACGTGGTACAATATTTCCCAGAAATGCATACAGAAAGCCGTTTGGGTTTCATCAGACCATACTACAGAGAACAAGATCGATCACACATGCATCAATAAAAAGTTAAGAAGCCCGATGGAAGAACAAATAAAGATGACACAGCTTCCGATCACCACCCGGTGATGGTCAAGATGAAACTAAAGCCGGAGAAACATTGTACAACTGAAGAAATATCATAACAAAGGTTCATTACAGCCTTCCTTCGATATACAGGCAAACTCAACGAATTCAAGATAACTCTCAACACCAGGTTCCAAACCTTACAAGAACTACTCAAAGAAGGAACTAAGATAGAGGACAACTAGAATGAGATCAAAAAGGTAATAACTTCAACGTGTCAGAAGGTGCTGAGCCACAACAAGCAACATGATAAGGAACGGATCTCTATCGAAACCCTGGACAAGATTCAAGAAAGGAAGAACAAGAAGATATCAATTAACAACAGTCGGATAAGAGCAGAGAAAGTCAAGGCACAAGCTGAATACACAAAAGCAAACAAGCATGTGAAGAGAAGCATTAGAGCTGACAAGCAGAAATACGTAGAAGATCTAGCATCGACAGTGGAAAAAGCTGTAATGGAAGGAAATATGAGACAGTTATATGATATAACGAATAAACTGACAGGAAATATGGTAAACCAAAGATACCGGTCAAGGACGAAGGTAAGCGAATCACTGAGATTTAAGAGTAGAGGAACAGATGGATAGAACACTTTGTGGAACGCTTGAATAGGTCAGCTCCATTGAACCCACTGGACATCAAAACAACACGTACACACCTCCCCAAAGTTATTAACTTACCAACATTGGAAGAAATCAGTGTGGCCTTAAGACAAGCTAAGAGTGAGGAAACAGCAGGGTCAGACAGACAACACACCATCTGAAGCACTGAAATCAGACAGGAGCAACTGCGATGCTACATATTCTATTCAGAAGGATTTGGGAAGAAAGACAAGTGCCAACATACTGGAAAAAAGGATACGTCATCAAGATACCAAAGAAAGGAGATCTCTGCAAGTGTGAGGAATACTCAGGCATCACACTACTATCAGTACCAGGAAAGGTTTTCCACAGTGTTGATGAGCCGAATGAAAGACTCCGTGGATGTCTAACTTTGAAATCAACGAGATGGATTCCGTAAGGATCGGTCGTCCACAGACCAAGTTGTGACACTATGGATCATCGTTGAGCAATCAATTGAATGGAACTCATCACTATACATCAACTTCCTCGACTGCGATCAAGTATTTAACAGAGTGGATAGGCGAAACTTATGGAACCATCTTCGACATTATAATGTACCTGCGAAGATCGTCAATATCACACGGAATTCATGAGACAGACTACACTGCAAAGTCGTGCATCGGGGCTTGCTCCCAAATATATTGAAAGTGAAGACTGATGTCAGACAAGGCTACTCACCTTCACCTTTCCTCTTTCTTCTGGTAATTAGCTGAATACTGATGATCGCCACATCTGAGGGAAAGCACGGAATACAGTGAACACCTTGGATGAAGCTAAACAATTAGGATTTCGTAAATGACCTGGTTCCTCTATCCCATACACACCAACAAATGCAAGTGAAGACAGACAATGTGACAGCATCCTCTGCAGCAGTAGGCCTCAACATGTACAAGGGGGGATACAACATCCTAAAATATAACACAGTGAGCACCAACCTAATCACAATTGATGGATAAACTCTGAAACGAGTGGAAGCTTTCACGTACCTGGACAGCATCATCGGTGTACAAGGAGGATCTGATTTAGATGTAAAGGCACTGGTTTGCAAAACAATGGCGGCATTCCCTCAGTCGAAGAACAGATGGAACTCAAAACCACTGTCAACCAACACCAAGGTCAGAATTTTCAATACATATGTCACAACAATCCTATTTTGCGGAGCTGAAACTTGGAGAACTAATACAATCATGATCATGATCATGATCATCATCAACAAGAACAATAACCTACTGCGGTAGAGAACATACTAACTTCCAGCTGAAGAGGAAACTACGAAGACACTGGGTGTGGATAGGACACACATTTCAGAAATCGCCAAATTGAATCACGAAGCAAGCCCAAACTTGGAATCCTGAAGGTGAAAAGAGAAGAGTCCTGTGCAACACGAGGGGCAACTGGCGTAAGCAAGGGGAACGGAATAGAGGAAGAACATATTACACAATCCGCTGGGAATAGGAAGCAGACATCAAGAAAATGAATAACCACTGGGAACAACCAGAAAATTTATTCCGGGATGGAGTTGGTGGAAGCCCTATGCTCCACGAGTGGTAATACGCGTAATGAAAAAATAATTTTTAAGATTAGTCGGGCATTATACGAAACCTAAAGATTATCATTCGCCAGTAAACAGCAATGTCATTAACAGTAATTATTAGTTTATTAGCTATCGGAATTTAGGTTTGTAAATACCTCCGAATACGTTATTTAGAATGAAAGAAAACTAAACATAATTAAACGTAGTTTATATTCTACACAAATAGGTTACACCTGAAGCTCAACTGTATGCATTCTTTATCATTCACTCATGTGATGGTGAATATATACATTGTTAAGATATATCAAATTCACATGTAATATTTTTGCTATTCGTGAAAGTAACTGAGCTAGGAATGACGAAGCTGTATTCCTGTGAAATAATGACTTTACTAGAATAAATTTGATAAACAGAGGGTTGAGTGGTCACCTGATCATCGACAGAAGGATAGTACAATAATATTCCAGAATTATCTATTGACAAAAAACTGTCCTAAATTCTTTTAGCTCACCAATTCATGAAACAATATAATTATTACTTGACAAACTTTAGAAATAAGCATTATTTGTTCACTGACCCGTTAATTCAAGATGATTTACCTGAGATTCTAATGAAAAACTGTGACTTATAAGGTCAACAAAATCGAGTGCAAAAAAGAATATTTGTCAGATAAATCAGATTATGACGTTGTCACGTTGCCGATCAAATTTAGTAGTTAGATGACCATGTCCTTGTTGCCATACTTATGCTACACATCACAGAATTGATGACCTACAGTGCTCGAGTTATAAACGGTTGTCTATCTAGAAATGGATATGCAAGAACTACAGTATTATGACGACGTAGCTAATGAATGAATCGATGGATTTAAAACATTTCCTCCATTCTGGGTAACTCAATAACCAAGCACTGGTTAGAATATTGGATATGTGTAACCTAATGACATAAGAATATGATAGAGTAACTTAAGTTTGAATACTTGAACTACTTCGCTTCACAACCTAATAACTTTCGTTCTGGATTCCACAACTAGCCACCAACCATCTCTGCTTATAAATGTAACAAAGCTTAAATACGGTTTAGCAACATACGCGATTGCATAGTACAAGAGACTATTTTTTGAATAGTTTCAACTGCAGAGTTGAGAAAGGGAATACTTTAGAAAATTTGTTGCACTATATAAAGATTGATCAGTGGAGTAAACAAGCAGATATTACTTTAGTTTGTTAACGCCTATGCAGATATTAATAACACACAATAACAATACCGGGTTTGATGACGTAACAATCAGTATATATATATATATATATATATATATATATATATATATATATATATATATATATATCTGTCTACAAGGCGTAAACTAGAACCGATAGTACATAAAACGAAAAATTCCTATTACATTTATTCTCTACAATTAACTTCCATTTATATTTAATGTGATTTTTCAAAATTTTAACGTTTTATGATCTGATGAATCTAATGTTTAGAAAGTTTATTGCTGATACATGGATAAACAATCTTAGCGCACATCACAGATAGCGTATATGAAATGGCAAAAAAATTACTGAGCTACAGAAAAGACAAAATTGAAAAGAATGAGATATCTGAGATCATTATGAAAAGTAACTTCAAATTCATGACTTGTAACCCGACGTAGTGGTGCCTGATTAATTCTTCATGTTTGTGGTAAAAAAGGAATTAGATTGTCGAAATACAATTCGTTTTTGATGATAACTTGTTTAATTTAAGACAGACGAAAGTCTGTCAAGGTGGATATATTCACTTCAAGTTATTTTGTAAGGTTTATCAGAGTAAGCGGACACTTCACCTTCAAACTTAACACAGCACTTTTATTTATTGATAAACGTATTCAGCATAATACTGTATCGCTCTTCCTTCAAACGATAATCCAGAAAACAGCAAGGTAAGAATGCTAAGCAAGTGCGATTGAAACAAGAGACTGGAATTCGCTTTAATCAAACAGAAAGAAAAATGTACCGAGCATAAGAAACAAATGAAATAAATGAGACTTTTGCTCACTTGTTTAGGTAAATTAGGACGAGAATCTGGTTTCAGAACAGCGCCTTCATCAACCATAAGTTGAGCTAAATAATGACGTCTAAGACTACTGATATTTGATGGTTCCAAATGTTCATCATCTAGACTGTAGGCAGCCTAACGAAAAGAAAAATGAATGTAAACTCTGTATAATTTTTCTAAATACCGAAAAATTCTAACGGCAAAGTCGAAATTCAGAACAATTAAGGTAGTTGCAATGTATTGTAACTAAAAAATAGTCACTATGAGAATGGAACATCATAAATTTAGTTTCGAGTCATTTCTGATGCCTTTGATTCTAGTACACAAAGATGTATTCAGTACGCACTTTTTTGCCCGAATAATTACACGCAAATAAGAAATGCGATGTTCGGATCGGACTGGCTTATATAGATGAGGAATGCAAAACCGTGATACTTGACCAGGTTCTAGATTGAATGACTGATGTGGCTACGAAAAAGTATTAGGAATTTGTTTCTTGATGTAAAATTTCCTAGTGAGCTTTATTAGAAGAGTATGAGCAATTGTTTTGTTTTGAGACTAATTTACTCTAAAAGTATATTATAAGCTGCTATATATTATACATCAAAACCAGAGAAGTTAGGAGGGCATGAAAATATTTCTACTTAGAAAGTGTTACAGTATCATGATGATATAAAGATGTATCGTGTGAGCTATTTATCATAACTTCAGCAATTCTGGAAATCGAGATAATTAGATTCAAATACAATTTAAAGCAATTAGTCCCTTTTATAAATTCCGATAGAGCACTTAGAAGACGGAGTTGATCTGAAAAATGTTATGTATTTGCACCATACATTTCGAAAAATCTGGTCACGCATATACTTGACAGGTCATTCTTTTTCGAAAAATAATAAAGGTCAATTAAATGAAAGTTCAAGTAAAAAAATACAATTAATGATGATCGCCAGCTCCAGTTAATATACAGTGGAGTGTCAAATGATAAGATGTAAAAAAAGATGAACTTTTTTTACTATGACGCATCGAGTTTAACCGAATTCCAAAAATCCAACTAGAATGAATATATTGTCGTAGAGGAAGAAATAAATATAATTTCTTTCTTCAGTCAGTCAGCTACAACGTCGGACCAGGCACATATATGCAACGGTCCAAGTTACCACACCACATTAGTACAGCAAGACGAACACCGGATTCATAGAAGTAGTTAATTCAATGGTGGTAATATATCAAAGAAAGATTGCATATAAGGATATAGTACAGGAAGAAGGAGTTAGTTGGTAGAAAGAAAGATATGAAGCGATTTTAAACTCTTAATTTTAGGGAAGACAGAGAGTGTATACACCTACACCTTTGTGATCGATTATGAGCCATGTCACACAGAGTCTCCAACCATTGGCTACAATAGTCACGAGGAACCCAACCAAGTAGTCCGCATCTACCAACAAGGCTCAGACCATAAGTTAGTGTCTTCAAGCACTGATGCCACGTTTTGGTTTGACCACCCCTAACTTTCTTCCAACCATCTCGAACATCGGTTACCATTTCACGTCGTGGTAATCGGTGTTCAGGTATACGCAACACGTGGCCCAACCATCTCAGTCGATGAAGATTTACGTCATCAACTAATTTGCCATCATTCCCTAATACCCTGCGTCTAACCTCACTATTACTTACCCAGTTATCCCAGCAGATGTGAGCAATATTTCTAGGGTATTTGTGATCAAATACTAGTAGCTTACGAGTATCTTCTACTCTTAATGGTCACGTTTCGCAGCCGCAAAGTAGAACAGAACGAACTGCCGCGCAGTATACTCGTCCTTTCATTGATAGACAGATATCTCGCCTTCGCCACAGGTGACGTAAGTTGATAAAAGCCAAACGAGTTTTTCGAATCTGTGCTGAGATTTCGTCAGACACCAACCCATTAGGGCTGATCAGATTTCCAAGTGAAGTTGTCAAGGTGTTCGACTACTTCACTCCCTATCTTTAGTTCAGGTGTTGACGCAGGCCAATCCTGAAGCAACAACATTCATTTTGAGGTAGAGAAGCACATCCCTAACATCCTGACATTGTTGTTCATTGTTACCAAAAGTCTTTACATTTTATCAGCGTCTTCAACAAACAGGATTGTTATCTGCGTATCTTAAGTAAACCTCCTGGAACGAAATCAATTCCTTAAAGTCTAGAATACGATAGCGTTATTTCCAGCAGTATGTCTGGTGAAGTTGGGCAAAAAATGGAGATAGCAGGCAGTCTTGTCGGACACCACTTGAGGTTGCAATATCGCATGACAGTTCACCATTAGGTCTGACTCGACTGGTAGTGTTCGAGTAAAGAGCTTTCACAAGGTTTATGCACTTCTGAGGTACACCTTCCAATGACAGACACTGACACAGAACTTATCGGTCTCCATAGTCAAATACTGCTTTTAAGTCAAGAAAGACCACCATTGTCGGACGAATTGTGAATATGTGGTCGATGCAGCCACGACCAGGTCTGAAGCCAGCTTGATTCTCTCGTGTTTTCAGTTCACGAGTCTTAGTTAGGCGTCCGATATTTATCGAGGCTAGTATTTTAGATACTATATTAGTTAAACTAATCCCTCTATGGTTGTCACAGGATGATTTTAACCCTCTCTTATATACTGGGACGATCAGTGATTGTGACCAGTCAGATGGGATTACGTCCAACTCCCAGATTTTAGCTAAAATATTAGTCAACCTAATCGCTAAAATTGGACCACCATCCTTAAAGACCTCTGGAGCCAATCCATCTGGACCAGCTGCCCTTCCTCGTTTCAGATTAACTATAGCCTTTTGAACTTCTGCTAGAGTTGGAGGACCTACTTCAATGTTCCATTCACTGTCTGGGAATGGAGAGTAGTTGTAGAGTAGCTGAAGGTTAGCTGAACTGTTCTCTGAAATGTTCCGCCCATCGTTCTAAACGTCTGGACTGAGAGCAGATGAGGGTGTCGTCTTTCTCCGAAATAGTCTGACTTACATTTGACTTATTAATTCCAGTTTCTTTTATTGGTCTGTAGAGCTGTGTTGTGTTACCTATAGCCGCCGCCTTTCCAACACTGCTCACGGTCGTTCCTTAGACTTTTGCTTAACCTAGATCTGATTTGTTGTCGCTCTTCATCATTTTCAGAGCCTGATGGAATGAGTTTACGAGAATCCATCAGTGCAATAGACCTTGAAGAAATCCATTGGTTCTTTGTAACCTTGTGGTTTAAATCATTAACAGAGGTCACTGCTGTTTCCACAGCTGCTTGTATATCTTTCCAAGCAACATCTGGGTCAGCCTCGTTTTCAGAGCTACCTAAGTGTAACCTCAGTTGTTCCTGGAACCTACTTTTGGTTTTCTTGCTACTCAATTCAGTTCTAATGGGTCTTTTTAGTGTGGCTTTTTTGCATCCAGTGAGGCACAAGCAGATGCGTGCTCGTATCAGGGCATGGTCGGAGTCCAAGCAGGTACTCCAGAATGAGCGACAATCTTCAACCGACCCTCTCCAACGATGACTGATGGCAATATGGTCTATTTGAGTCCATCGTTGGTTTGGTATAGGGGGTCGCCATGTTAGACGATGTATCTCCTTATGCTTTAAATTTGTGTTTGCTAAAAATAAACGATTGTCTGAGCACAGTTGCAGCAGATGATCACCATTATCTGTTCGCTGTGCCGGAATACTAAAATACCAACCTAAGTGCCCTACTGTTTTGTTTAAACTACCTATCTGGGCATTAAAGTCACCTGCTACGAGTACTATGTCTGAATGTTTAACCTTCTGAAGAAGTTCAGAGAGCTTTTTGTAAAATTCACCCTTCACTTCATCCGAGCTGCAGTCAGTGGGAGCGTAGGCAGAAACGACAAAGAGACAACGACGTGTGTCCCTATCCTTCCGAGTTCTTACGGAGCCTTTCAGCCGAGCAGCACATAAACGACTGTTAACGGGGATCCACTCTAACAGTGCTTGGTCCGCTTAGTGCTATGCCTACACCTGCCAGTCCACGAGAACTGGTTATCGGTTCACCAGATACACGGAGGGTGTATCTCGTCAGCTCAACATTTTGCTGAGGCGAGGTCAAGTGAATGACCACACTAGGATTCTGTGTGCATGTCTCCGAGACACAGCATACATTAATGGCACGAGATTCTAGGGTTTTAGTCAATGAAGCCTGTTGGCCGATTTGACATAGGGTGCGAACGTTGAAGGCTCCAATGTGTAGTTTGGAACTAGGTTTCCGTACACCTTGGAGTGTTTTGCGCAGTATGGCTATGGTGACACTTGAGGAGGAAGCCGAAAGAGGAAGCTTAGGCTTGAAAGTCGATGTAGGAGGGATAATAAGAATTGAAGAGGGAGGTTGATTATGAATACAGTGGTCTTGAATGCTGTTAGAGGTATGAGGGCGGTTATCACTTACAGGTTGCCCACACCGTGGAAGGGTTCTTCTAGAGGTACCTGAAAAGGAAATTGGATTAGAGGTGATCTTAGTGACCTGAGAGCGTGACCGCAGTGCTCAAGGAGCAACTGCTTGAGGTCGGTCACACACGTCCTTTTTGAGTAATTTTTGTGTTGGCTCCGTACTCGTTGAGACCCTACTGCCGGAGACGGATATCCGCGAGACAAGGCAAGGTGTGCATTTCTAGGGTCGACCTTTTCTAACCTCACCCCTCCTTGTGGGAAGGCAGCATCGCTGTCATGAAGGAAACACCCTACTGCTACCACACCTCTGTACAGTCAGCAGTACGACCTCGCCTTCGAACTTTGGGTTGGTTGCTTTTAGCCTTACTGCTCTTCAACCGACCTGTCCGACATGGTATGACCTTGAGGAACGGTTGTTCCAGTCAGGATAGCTTGGTTGCTTCATCACGATAGGCAATCCCGACCACCACGTCAGGGTAGCAACAACGGTCGGGAATTTCTTTCTTAATAAAAGAACAATTAAGAGAAACACGAAGTACAAAGCTTTTAACAAACAAAAGTTTAGAAAGTAAAATTGCACGAGACAGATTCACAAAATAGATAAATAGGAGCAAATGTTTATCAACAAATAACTTTCAACCAGTAGAACGACAGCAACCACGTATTAGTAGTGGGTAATACTTAACAAGATAAGTTACGTGAAGCATCGGGTAAGGACAAACCCCACCCTCGTTTGCATCCTTGACTTTGCACCTGGCAACCAACCAAAATGGAACGAAGGAAACGTAAGACAAGAAAAGGCACTCTAATTGAAAACTTTCGGGCGGTCTTCCTGATGGGACAAAACTATCAGTACTAGCAACACCGTCTGCGTTTCCTTTCTCATAACTGAAAGATAAATATACTTCTGTTTGAAGTATCACATTAGTAAATGCATTATTTATACATCACTAATGATTGGACTGCCAATGAAATCTAGTACTTCTTAGTCTAAAACATGAAGATTAAGAAATATCTGGATGTATTTTGTTGATGGAATTGTTTAAAATTGAAAAAACATGAAAAAAGTCCACTTTAATGAGTAACTAATATTTATACTTTTATCAGTAGGAGTTATATAAGCTAAATGGTAACAAGAATACATCCATAAAATATTACCTACTGGCAGGAAGGTATTATATGAATATACTTACCTTGATTAATTCATTTACGTCAGTCACTGACCCTGGTGCATTAGAAAGTGAGTGGAATATCTGAGATGAATTGTTTAAACTCAAAATTTCTTCGCTCTGTAGGGAACAAAATAAAATTACACAAATCATATATAAATGTGTTATTTGTGTGGAGAGAGAAGAATAAAAAAAGAATTCGTTATCTTCATCCCGGACTAGGAAAATAGCGAGGATAAGAATGCATACATCTATTCTTTTAAATAGTATTTTTATGTAGAGGAATATTTTCAACAAGACAATCATTAGAAAAAAGTCCATCCACAACTATTTTTAACTGTCACTATATCACTTCAAGTCGTATTCTAGTAAGGAAACTTGGTTAAATGTGAAGAACAGTTGTTGAGGTTAATCGGATAATAGACCGTGGAACGTATCGATAATATTTCCTATAAATGCACCAATAACAAGAGTAAATTATTAGTGATAAGATTATTATTAAAATAAGACTTAGCCAAATTTATATTACCTTTATATACAAATACATCGCAAACTGTTCCTAAAAATTGTGATATACTCTGAAGAGTGGGAGAATATAATAATTACACGGAAACTCTTACAATCTATGAATAATCGAAAATTTGTTGCTACGTTATTTTAGCATTTTGAAGCTAGATTTTTGAAAATTAGTTTTTGTTCAAAGTAATATTCTCTATAGGCTATGCTTTTTAAAATAATAGGTTGTTGATAACAACCAGAGTAAATAAGACTGATGAGTTATGGTTTTTGAATTCAAAATGAAATCATCTGGTAGCAAAGGATGGATGGGGTCTAAAAATACCAGGCTATACAATAAGAGATCAGGCCAGTAGTCGAAGAGCATTGTAATCGCAGTAGTAGTAGTAGTAGTAGTAGTAGTAGTAGTAGTAGTAGTAGTAGTAGTAGTAGTAGTAGTAGTAGTAGTAGCAGTAGTAGTAGTAGTAGTAGTAGCAGTAGTAGTAGTAGTAGTAGTAGCAGTAGTAGTAGCAGTAGTAGTAGTAGTAGCAGTAGTAGTAGCAGTAGTAGTATCAGTAGTAGTATTTAGAACTTTCGGGCAGAAATACATGATTTGGAAAAAAATGAAGATGAAGTACTGATTGCTAATGCATTAGTTCTAGTTATCAAAAGAGCAAAGAAAAGAAGAATGACTCAATATTCTCAAGAAATCTAATGAAATAAGAAGGATAATCATATGTTAGATATTTATAGCAAGATAAAAACTTGAGTCGTGATGGGCCACAAGACATACTAGTTTTATAAAGGCATCTTTTCAGACCACAGTGCTGTTTTAGACTATCCTGGTTTTCATTCATGGTCAAAAAGCAACATGTTGAATCTATTTCTGGAAAATGTTAATTTAGATTGCAACTGTTAAGTCCTCTACTTGATTAGCGCAGAATATGATACATAACAAACGACGTTCGAATGTGTAGAACCCGGTAGCTGCAAACCAGAAGAGGTAGGATAAATGATTTATGGGCAAGAATCAAAATTGTACGGAAAAACATGTTTGGTCATAGTTACTAGCATGGGTCATAACATCGTTATAGTTCAGCCAATCCACAAGGAGGCAAGTTATGCTACCGTCCAATCGTAGCATGTCACGTTAATATCATAGAAAGCTCCACCAAGTTCTGATTGGGCGGAAACTCTTCGGTTCCATCGTGCTTCTCGAAATCCGTCCCCACAACAAACAGTTTACTACAAATCTATTTTTGATGTAATAGATGTTTCCAGATTTATTTTAATATTTGATCCAACTTAAAATTGTTACTATGCATTGAACGCATCAACAATGTTCTATTGTCATCGCATAAGATAAGACGTATGAGTCAATAAGTTGGCAACTGGATATGAAAAATTAGTATGATAGCAATTTGTAAAGTGAACAGTGAAGCTGATGAATTATCTGGATACATTTTTAACAGACCAAAAATAGGTCTTGAAAAATAACGTACTATGGACCTAATTTGTATTTAATAAGATACAGCTCGATTATAAACAACGCATATTTGCTGAACACTGACTTACATGGACGATGAACAAGTGACGCTTTTCTCTTCATTTCACCCAGTCCCAGCTAATGCGAAGATAGAAGACAATACGTGACTAAGAAATTTGCTAGTTTCACATGAAGTTTGATAAAAGTCTACATCTGTTGTATATACGTATATCTGAAGTGTCCATAGGATTAATGTAACAAATCAGTGAACTAAGATATCCGCAAGCCAATAGGAAAAAATAGTAGCTTTAAGAGCGGTAAAAACGAAGGATATATAGCGTAGGGAGAATTGCCGGGAAAACCGCTGAATTCAAATATGTACAAAACAAATTATAAAAAAGTAAGCCTTAGAAGTTGTTGTTGGGGAGTTAAATGTCCCCAACATAGTAGGAAAAAGAAAATAAAGATGATGAAAGCACAAAATGTTTGGAATGATAATGTACTGTTTAATTATTCACTAGAGGTGGTCTGACCTTGACAAAGTATTTATATTTATGATTTGATAGATAATCAGATACGGGTAATTCACGGGATGTTTTTTCGGTCAACATCATATAAGGATTTTCTCGGCACTAATGAATTAACTTTAGACAATCACAAAAAAAAATACTTCACTCATCAATGACTTATAAGCCAAATGGGATGTCTTAAGTAAGATGTTACAATTGTATTATCTGTTATTGTTTTCGACAATTTACGACATCCTAAATTTTGTTCATTTTGTCAATCCAACTTAAATACTGAATAAAGATATCTTGTGACTGAAAATAAATATTAGGTGCAATTTACATATAACATCGATACCAAGAAATTCAATCAAATTATATATATATATATATATATATATATATATATATATATATATATATATATATTCTTTGTACATACTTTGTAGGATAAAAGTGCAAGGGCGATGCGAAATAGAACAACTGAACCATCATAAAATAATAAATCCCATATTCGAAATGTTAAAGCTGTAGGACATACACTTGAATACAGCGTGAGAAACCATTGTAGCGTAATGAGCGGTAGGCCTGTGTCCAGAGTGTAAAAAGGAAAAAAGAAAAACAAGTTAACAAATGTTTGAAATAATCATGGTGCTTACTCAATCAGCTTGGTTTAACTGTTAAGTTAATGGGATCAACTTTGAAAAACTATTTGAAAATTCTGAGTTGTATCATTTTCTACAAAAATGCAAGTGTACTTGATATGGAGAGCCAATCAGAAGTAGTAAAAGGTCAATCGATGGTAATCATAAGTGACCCAAGCTCAAGTACATTTCAGTGGGGTCAATGGATTAATTTCCTAAGGATAGTGGTATATATATGGATATTTGTGCATTTCATTCGGTAGATCAAAACACTTTATCGCTCAAGTAGTCAGTTGGGGGGTTAGCGCATAGCATACCGTGTATCAGTATCAGATTTTGGCCGCCATACGTCACAACAGTACCTAGAAGATTGGTTAATCCTTTGGGCTTATTTGTCTGCCTGGAAGAGATTATATGAAACACAACTGAAGGTGGTTTGATTTAAGATATGGTTACATTTAGTATGACTGGTAAAACCACCAGAACATAACTCGTAATAATGTGCTAATGGAATCTAAAAGACTTGTAGTTGTTACAGACTTTTGTATAGAAAGTTTAATGGTCAATTCGATTATGTTTGTTGGGGAGATATACTAACTGTGGAAGACCAATGAAATTTTATCGAATCACAGTCAATAAGGCAGGATAAGGTTTGTCAAAATACTTGTAACTTTTTACTCGTCTGGTGCGATCAAAAAAATTTCAATATTGTAGAACAGTTTTAATTCTGCTAAACAAGACCTTTCAACAAAGTGATTAGTACAAACGTTTTTGTAATATCCCTACTTTCCTCTCCAGCATTTAAAATAGTCACAGTCAAAGAGAATATAGTTCATAAATAAATACATATAATTTTGTCTATAAGGTATCATGCTTTTTCATTTACAAAAGCAATCGAAATTCACCAGTCTGTGCAAGTAGGTGTCTGATTCTTTAAGCTCAGTGACAGGATACCATGTAACGATCACCATGTTTCCATTGATATAGTAAAATAACTAAGGCTATTTATTTTATACTCAAAATAGTGAGCACACATACACAGGAAAATAAGAAAATAAAAATCAATAAAAAATAGATAGAAAATCTGTTTTGATGGCACATTGTGACCTAGCATTCATGTTGATTCTTGTGTATGCTCTGGTGTAGATAAACAATATCACGAAAAGCGATGAGTCAAAAAACCAATATATATATATGACATAATAAGCTACTTTCTTGAAAAATACAAGACGCAACTCAACGTTGGAAAGGTAATGCATCATTACTTTTACAAACAGTTTAGTGGAAAAACAGGTTTCCTTTCTACGGAAAAAATAATATAACTGTAAAAATGAGATCAACTTCTCATTTTATTGTTTAAGCACCTGGTTGACAGAAAAGATGGGATAGTAGTAGGAATTATATTATGCTATATCCTGACGAGAATTATGAATAGTAATTTTGAGACCTATTTATGGACCAATATGATGCATATATTTTTATTGTATAGTTGTTATGTAACTAAACTATGCATATACAATTTCCTCCTATTATAAGCTTTGTTTTGACCCATAGACTATTATTATGCGATTTACTGTTCTTGAGTTATGCTCAGTCTATTAATTACAATCTCCCACATTCACAGCCACTTTTGGCTAGATCTTGTACAAATATTGTTTTCTATTTTGTGGTGAGATGTGGTCTGTTTGGTTTGTATATAAATACAGTATGTTTGAAATACATGACTCACATTTTAGAGGCTGAGATTGGTGTTTTGGACTCAGCAGGCATTGCTAGGCAGGGAGACGGTCTGATAAGGATTCTAGACCACTCGTACGGGTTTACGCGTCATTGGTCTGGTCGATAAGTCGCTGTTCTCTAATTGGTGGTATCATTACGTTATATACTGATAGGGGCACAGGGCCACAAGTTATAACATATTATTACTAGCAACTGTCTTACATCATTTGATATTAGATACAAAGATTAATTCAACACCTATAAATTAGATGTCATGTATGAAAAAACGGAGAATCTGTTCACGGTATTTTGAAGAATGAACATTTTGCTTACTTATTTCATATTCTTTTAAACGTGCATCTAATTCTGGTAGATAGAATGGAAGTAGATGATTCAGTACAAGTTGGTCAGCTTGTACACCCAATAAACTAAGTGACGAAAAATATGATGGTGGTAGAAGATCCTCAATAATACTGCACATCATCCAAAAAGCTGTTTCTTCTTCTAAGCATAATAATAAATTTGCAACTATCTATTGTACGCATAAAAGGTTAGTGAAAAAAATGAAATGAAAATTCAGGTTAATTTATTGTGGTTAACGAAGTTCAAATAAATGTTCGCACAAATATTGTAGTCGTCGGGCTAGATGAATGTCATGCAGCACAAACATACACATATTAAACAATGTGATAAAATCAGGTTACGTTAGAAGTCGTGTTTTGATGAATGAGTGAGGTACTAGTGACCTACAAGACTGAGTAAGGGCCATTATGTTTTTTCATGTTAAGCTTTAACTACTATTCTTGAAAAAATCATGGCTTTTTATGGATTTAAATAATTATTTCTATTGCTTATTGATAACTAATTGCAATTTAATTTCTAGACATACTGATCATTATTATGTGAACTTTAAAAAAAATGTAGCCTTTTATTTTGGAACTCCTTAGAAAAGCTTCTTACCATAGGGGTTAGACTGACAACCTTCAGGCCAATTGACAAAGTGAGTTCCCGCCGTCAGGTCATGCTTTACAGGCCTAATACGTGGAACTTCCTCAATAAGATTTGGCACGTTTATGTGCGATTTTGTCATAATGACTATTAGTATAGAGGGTATACCATTAAAGCTATTAACACTATCGAAGCAATTATAATTGACCTCACTTCTTTTCTCTTATCTTACAGCACATTGTGAAACAAATTTCTAAGTAACAGGCGAATAAATTTCCCCCCTTGGTTCAAGCTTATTTCTACTAAAAACCGAAGCAATAATAGTTCAGGTTATACTACTATAATGAAAATAAAACTAATTCGTTTACAGGAAACAGAAAAAGTTAGTAAAAATAATGAAATCAATAGTTTAAAAATATTTTTTTTCAAAAAACCCGATAAAACAGTGGTAGATATGCTTTAGTTAATAAGGTCATAGCTATATATAATCCCAATGGATGGTAAAAAGGAAAAGCAGAGGAGAATTGTACGGATAAATAACAAATATTGTTAATACGAGATAAGTAGTGGCACAGAATAATATAGAATGGGATTTGGTATTAAGGTATTCTATAATAACAGTTGTTTATTGTGGTGTTTGATTGTTTGTTTATGCCGAATATTTATCAGTTTTTATTATTAGGTCTACCGGGCTAAGTAGTAGGATCTGATCAATCTTGGTTTTCAGTAAATAAACGAGTTACTCCTTGAAAGACGATATTGAATGTTGGATTTCGATATCGAAATCACATAGTGTATTTTTGCAGCCACTATTTATATTATTGTAGCGATAAGCCTTAGGTACAACTGACCTTCCACTAACTTTCTACCTTAACTATCACTTAGTTTACCATGGAGGCTTTCTTGGTGCCTTATAATACGAAGTTTTTTGTTTGAATAATTATTAATCGAGCTTTTTTGAGAAAGGAGGAAATTTAAACAACGAACTGTTTTTGTTTATTGACTTACTAATCCCATGCCTTGACAATATCCTACATCTACATACAACCAAGCTAGGGCACGCAGAACTCGACGCAGTCGCGAAATACCAGTAGAATTTGAGGAATGGAAACATAGATTATTTGGCATTGTACGGAAAAGATCCTAGAACATAAAAGAAATAAGGTGGTGAAGAGAGGAGTAATCACATTTTACTGAAATTTTAATTTGTATTATTGTTATGACTGATCGTCGCCAATTGTTATGTCGGAATCGACCATTACTTATACATGTAAAACAAGGAACCACTGTATATTCAATGAGTGGTGATAAATGATTTTACGGAGTTTCGACTATTTGTTATTCTTTTTACGCGATAGAACCCTGTCAACAATAAACGAAGTTATCATCAATTAAAGGTGATAACAAAAGTTGACAATGAAAAGTAATACAGATGGATTTGCATATTCGAGTTTTTGAAAACTTTCTAGTGTAGGTGGCAGATAAAACAATTTTCCATTAGATTTCTTTCAAAGTAGGATGTTTGAAGAGTTTAATGCAAATAGTTACTGTCCTAATGGACTACTATTGTCATTGAACAGAGTGGCTATGTTAATCCAAAATCAAAACACAAAGACCGAGGATGGAGCGTGCAGTTTATACTTTTCTCTCAACTATGAATTATGCATATCTTATAAGAACTCTAAAAGCTAGTTACATGTTTATTTAGAGAACGGACTGTTCTGTTATACATTCCAATAAATTAATCTGATCATCTAAATGTGATGTTCTTGCTACGAAAATCGGACTTGGTTTAATTCCTTATAAAATCGGTAGCCAAGAAAACTGAATAGTAAGCCATCGAGACAGGATGCCGATCTTACTACATGCTTGGTTCTAAATATTTCATTCGATAAAGAGGACGTTAAGATGTACATATGACTGTATGTATATATTTACATTTCAAATACTAAAACTAATTTCACTATAAAATCTGACAGAAATCAAACAAAATTAAAGTATGTAAATAATTGCATTTACCAAACAAACTGTATGAGAATATTATCCATTTAATAAGAGCAATGCATATTTGACATATAATCCGTTTCCGTTTTCTACTTATTATTATGAGCCTCATTAATGTAATATAATTATTCAATAAGTAAATACTACAAAATTAACGAACAATTTGTTTATAAACAAGTTAAAAGCGATATAACAAATAAGCAACCTTTTCAATCTGAATTCCGGCCAAAAGTGTGTCTGTAGAGCTGAGTTGAACTAATTCAGTATATGTGATCGAAGGGATCCGTTGTTTAGATTCTTTTGCCTTTAATAAGGCTCCTGTTAGTCTAGGCCATATATGAGGTCGAAGAGAATGAGGAATCCCAAGTTGTTCACCAGACCTAGCAAGGGCTTCTACATCTAAGGCTTGTCCTCGAATAAGTTCTGTTAGTCTCGGTGACTGAACTAAACGCAAGTTTACTCTTGACCATAATTGATCATCATCTTCATCGACGGTAGATCCAACTGAACTATATCTGGCATCATATTCGTCTAGACTTGATATACCCAGTGTATGAGTATGAGAGAATTCCAAGCAGGTCAACCAAGCACGTCGATTGGCAGATGATTCGATGAATGGGCATGGAAGGTTTTCTATATAGAACATAAAATAGTGACACAATCTATTATACATATATAATGATGAAGGTGACAGCTATGTGAAAGAAAATTGTACACTGTGCACAACTTATTTTCTAAAGTAAAATAAAAGTATTACCAACCGAACTAGATAAAGATAAATTGTAAATCTTCCAGACAGCTAAACAAATCCAATGAAAATATTCAAAAATAACCAGTCTGAAACAGTAGCTAACTCATCACATACAAGTTTATATCCTTGGCTCTGAGCCTGGTTGTTTGTGTGAGGGCTAGCGAAACTACCTAGCTGCACAAATTAAACTAAGTGAAGTATTAAAATCGATGGCTGACTCATTCCAGTTACTCTACCTTTTAAGCAACTAATTGAAGCATATCAAGGGTATCAAATGCTTAATTCTGAACTAATTGCTTTTTAAACTTTTAGGCAGTAGATTAAATGATAAAGTAGAATGATTAATATCCGAAAATGATAGCTACTACTCCTAAACATTACTGAAATGAATGTGGACTATAGATATGTTGATAGCTCTGATTGAATAAAAAAACTATTCAGGAGAATAAGGTTTCAGCAGTTTAAAAATCCCCATAGAATATTCAAAAACGAAGAATATTTGAGCGAACAATTGTTTTCAATAACTTCATCATCAGGCTCTACAGTTATAAGTCCATAATTATAATATTTTACAAAGGCCAAAAATAAGGCATGTTTTAATGAGTTGCACAATGTTATGTGTTAAAAATGGTGAACGTTTGCATCTGTTACGATATATATATATATACTTCAAAAAAATGTAATATTTGCAAATTAGAAAGGTCATTCAATAAAGGTCAGTAAATCGTTCAGTCACAATAAGATAATGGTACTATTGCAAAATTGAAAATAATTTTGTCAACTGAGATAATAATAATATTGTTGTGTAAATATAATATGTAATAAGGGGGGGGTGTTATCAAGGCAATTACGGTCAACAAAATGGGAATGATGGATATGAAGATTAAGCTATAGATAATGACAAATAATGATAATAAGGAAAATAAATAAAATAAAGGAAGGGGTAAGAGGTTTATAATATTCAGTCTAGGTATTCGTAACAGATGCAAACGTTCACCATTTTTAACACATAACATTGTGCAACTCATTAAAACATGCCTTATTTTTGGCCTTTGTAAAATATTATAATTATGGACTTATAACTGTAGAGCCTGATGATGAAGTTATTGAAAACAATTGTTCGCTCAAATATTCTTCATTTTAGAATAAGGTTTCCCAATCATACATTTTATTCACTACGAGAAACTAATCAGAATTGATATCATTCAAATAATTGAATTATTGGCACTGTCTGACCACTGTACTTAAAAGAATTGGTAAAAGATGCATGCTTTCTGATTATTTCAATATTTCTTTTTGTTGATCGATTTCCCTTCTGATGTTACGCTGTATGGTAGTATATATGCTTATATGTATGGTGTGCTATTATTCGACTGCTTTGACGATGAAGTTTCGATAAGATTACATATAATTTGGTTTTGTGTATTTGTATCAAGGATGAATACATACAACTTACTCAAAAGTATGAATTAATTTTGCCTAATTCACTCTTAAATATTAAACCTTTTTTCACTTACTAAGGTAACAATAAGTTTCCTTATGGAAAATAAGATAAAACAAAGTTTGACTATTAAAAATTATATTGAATAACAACTAAGCGAAAAAGACCTACATAAAATGATAACACAAACCAGCAGAAGCAATAATAAAAAATCTCGATACAAGTAACACTGGACGATTTTTCTAATTATGCACTAGTTATATGACAAGTTATTTAAAACATGAGTTTGGTCACAACTTGTTATAGTCTCTACTTTGTACATATTTCATTTTCGTTTATTAGATCAGGAATTGATAATAACTTTAGAGAGGGACAAGGCATGGAAAGTCAATTTTCTCTACCAATTACGTAAAAATAATGATGACTGTCAGGAATAGATAAACAAGCGAAATGCACACTAACAAAGTATTAGGAAACCACTGAATGAAAAAATATTCCATCAGAGTGAGGGGAATTAAAATAAGCAGCGTTTGACTGATTGTATATGCGAAATTGTATTTATTTTTATGGTAATAAGCATGTACATATTACTTACATTATTCCTTAGTTCAACTCTAATTTCGAAGGAAACTTGTGATTCCCTTTACGTATACCATATAAAATAACTACACTACAAATGGTAGTATTGGTCACTAGGTTGGTAATATACGAGGATGATGGCTACAAAACATTTAGTTCGCCGTATATCATTGCCCCAAAAAACATCATTTATGGCCACAAACTTGATTTAACGAGAGCTCGAGTCACTCTAGGACAATCGCTGGTACCAAGACAGTAAAATAAGAAGGCTTAGAATATGATTAACAACCTCATCCAATGCAACGAAAACAGCTACCAAATCTCTAACCAGAGACAAACATTTAAACTACTTAAACTCCGTACTCAGTGATCTTGAGAGCTGTAAGGTGGTTTTAGTGACCTGAGAGCGTGACCGCAATGCCTAAGGGACAACTGCTTGGAGTCGGTCATACACGACTTTTTTGTGAATAGTTTCCGTGTTAGCTCCGTATTTGTTGGGACCTTACGGCCGGAGATGGATGTCTACGGTAACGGTCATTATATTCCATCATCAAAGTGATGATTCTACAAAAACCATGAGGCAGATGACCTTCCCATAAACAACCACAACAATATGCATAGCAATATGGAGTGTATGAGCAATGTGGCAGATCGGCAGTGTCATTTGAATGGCTATAGAAATGAGAAAATATAAGCTGATCAGATCATGCTTAGGACAAGTGAAACTCGTTAGACGCAATCTGAAAAGAGAAGACTAACCACAAGATAAATTGTTGTTTTCTCATTATCAAGGAAAAGATGCCCCCGAATTCCCTAGCAGGGCCGAGAGTGGGGAGAGTCAGCTCTCCTTCTCGAAGTGTTTTCAAGTTGCTATATGCATACACCCACTGTCAGGGAAGTCCTACTTACTGCCTTCTCGCGATGGGGGTGTTGTTTACGAAATTGAGAGGACAAAAAGTGAATATCCGGGGTTTTAATAGGGTTGATGGATACAGAGGATCCAGCTAAGGAGTTGGAGAACCCTGATTCCAAACCAATGGTGTACGTGGCCTCCAGGATCCGAAGGAAACAAATAGCGTATGAACCGATTGTTGGTTACCGGCTAAAATGGGAAACATCTCCTTACGTTGCTCCACTACCTCGTGGATTAGACCTTTGGCCTAAGGGCTCGGCGTGTGGCCCCTTAAGAAAATCAGTTGTTTTTGTTTGGGTACCCCGGCAGTATCCCAGCCCTCACACAAATCGAATGGCTTATGTGGCGCATATCTGTTTGGCACTTCCTTGTACCAATATTTATGTTTAAATAAATAAATAAATGCTCCACACAAAAGCAATACCACTAATCCTTTCCACAGAACCCCATAATCCACTAATAGAATGAGAAACCCACCCAACCAGCATCAGCAAGCAACTCATCCTTCGAAACAAACAAGCAAAATTTACCACAAATGTCACTCAATGCTACGCACTCACTAATAATGGGAGCTGTTTGAAGACATTGCTGAGTTCACCAAACATTTAAAAACACACATAAACCTCATGACAGGTGTTGGGTCGCGAACAATGGAATAAATTAGCAAAGCCATCAGATAAATCAAGAGTGAGAAAGCAGCAGGACTAGAAACTCATACCAGCCGAAGCACTGAGATCCGATACAGAGGTAACTACAAAGATATTTCACTTTCTCTTAAAAAAGATTTGAAAGGAAGAATAAATACATCCAGATAGGAAAGAGGGACACCTTATCAACATACCAAGGAAAAGATGTCTTATTAGGTGTGAAAACTACAGAGGAATCACACTACTGTTAGTACCAGATAAAGTCTGCAACAGAGTATTGTTGAACCAAATGAAGAATTCAGTGGATGTTCAATTTAGAGGTCAACAAGTTGGCTTGTGAATGTGCCGACCAAATTGAGAAGCTACGGATCATTGTTGAACAATCAATTGAATGAAACTTACCATTATATATCAACTTCCAAGAATGAGAAAGCATTTGACAACGTCGATAAAGAAGCCTTGTTAAGTCTTCTTCGACACTTTGGAATACCTGGGAAAATCGTCAATAACACATAGATCTCTTACGAGAAACTTCACTACAAAGCGAATCAAAATGCATTTAAAGTGATGACCGGTATCAGACAAGACCTCACGATCCCGACTTTTTCATTTCTTCTTGTTGTTGACTGCCTCCTGAATATTCTACATAGTCGCCAACAAGGCTACAAAAAGTTTCTATCGAGTCTTTAGTTTCAGAAATGGTAAGTCGCATTAGCTCCTTACATTGGGTAGGTGAGACCAAGTAAATGATCACGCTGAGATCCTGGATGTATCGCCCAATTCCACATAGGGTCTGAACACAGTAAGCTTCCACATGTAGTTCGAAATGCGGTTTTAGTAAACCTGGGATAGAACTTAGTGAACTTGAGTCATTAGTGCGTATGGAAGGAACCGAAAACTGAAAATGAGGGTTAGGAATGAAAAACAGAAATTTCATGGGGTAAATAAGTTTTAAATGTAAGGTGATCTCGTGTGGCATTAATTGTATGAAGGTAGTTGTCATTTTCAAAATGCTAATACCCTGGAAGGGTTGTCTCTTGGAGTATCGAAAAAAACTAGATCAAAGATTATATTGACGACTACAGTTTTGATACGTTAACTTCGTAATTTTCAGATCCTACCGTCAGTGACGAAAATCAATGGGGAAGAGTTGAATGTGCCATTTTCGAAGACGTATTTTTCTAACCCCTTCCTTTATTTACGAGAAAGCAGTTAGTTGTATGATGGAGACATCGTACTACTGTCAAACCCCTGTGCAGTTGACTGTATGACTTTAATCCTTGACCTTAAGTTTGAGACGTTTAGTCTTATCACTCGCCGACCGACCTGCCTAGCATGATATGACATAAAAGAACGAGAGTCCCAGTCAATATATCTCGATTAGATCATCACAATATACAAGCCTGACAAATAAGTTAAAGTAGAAGTAATTAACACATAACTTTTTAAAAGTTTAGGTATGGATATGTCATGATCTCAAAACTACTAGGCATGAATATGAACTCCTCCGCGTTAAATATAGAAAGTGAACAGATGATATGGCTGAATAAGGTCCTATAATTGAAGCCATTTTAATTTTTGACAGATAATCATAAAGAGTTAAGCAATCTAAGTACAACGGAAAATATATAAAAATGGAATTTAATCAATCTTTTCAATATTTCAACACTATACATGCATAATTCTACTGTAAATATGTACTAATTAAAAATAACACCTTGTTGATATAGGACGGTATCTTCTTATCAAATCAGCATATCAATAAGCACTAGTTGCAAACGAGCGATTAGATAAAATGATTAATTTTTACAACAGGTTAATATGTCTAAATATGTAAACTCAAATTGTTTAATATTTTGTATGAGAAGTTTAGTATCGAACAACTTACGCAATCACCTACAACCAGCCAGATACATGCTGCTACTGCCTTGCACTTAGTTTTTACATGCTATTTAGCGGATACCTGAAACAGACTGTTCAACTTTTAATTCATTTGGACTATATTCCTGTTTGAGGGCATCAATAAATGTTTGGATAAGTGGCGCCAATTAGTTGGCTAGAGTCTCTATATGACCTTTCTATTGAGTTGTTCGTTTTAGAAACATCTTCCCCAAAAACGGTACATTTAGGAAGAGTGAATCGAAACAGCCTCTGTCACTTGTTGATCTCTCACTTCAGCGTTCTCCAAAATAACTTGTTGATACTTTGCTCGCTTCATACTTTGCGTTCAATGGTGACGCAGTTACACTGGCAAAGGCAATTACAGTATCGACCCGATTAAAGCTAATCCTGCCAACTAACTGATTTGCGACGTACAATTTGCATACCGTATAACGTTGCTGAGGGTTTGCTGATAGCTGTAGTCTTCACTCTACATACTAGCTCGGATGGAGCAAGAAAGCTTATTGTGCTGCATTAGGATATAGTGGTTGAAATGCCGATAAAGCTGCATGTTTCTATTTAGTCATGATAGTTGATGGATTCAGAGTTAAGACCTATTCGCTTAGGGTGTGGATATAGGAATTCTAACCCTTATCGTTTATTAAAATGTAAACCAAGGGAATAATTACACATAATTTCATAGTATGAACGTTATAGATTTGAGTAAATGAAAGGGAAAATCCTTAGATGTTCTATTAGAATACCAATAAAAAAACTGCTAAATTTCAGATTTTGAGTTCCAATAAAGAACCGAAATTCGCTTTCCATTCAGTGCACTATCATATAGAGAGAAATCAACTTCTCCGTCTTGTATTTAGACACCACGCTTGGTGAGTTTAACATACATGGATTGCGTAAGGGCGTTTGATGGTCGTGTCGGTTGGGCCGAATAATCTGTTTTCTTAGAATCACGGCTGGAAGTTAGACTGACAATGTAGCTAAGACATGACGTGTTGTTTCGGTTTATAAGACTGCTCAAATTTTTATTCTGCCATTTACTTTTTCGCATCTATCTTAGCTTTATCTGTAACATAATCGCTTCGTTAGCCGTTTGGCAGTAGTTATATTTCGTATAACAGAGTGACCTATTCTTCCCATTACTGTATCCCAAATCTTGTCATTATTATTACCTTTTAGAGGTACAGCCATCCAGTATCAAAGGCCCGCACTCTTGTCACTTTTCAGGTATTCTAGTTTAATTGCGATGGTACATAAATAAACATAATCCGAAACGCAGTCAAATGCATTTATATATAATTGTACGGTTTCGAAATCTAATCAAACAATTTATTTCAAAACATACGTAAACTAGTTTATTTTATACACAGTAACTGGCTACAATTAATTAATTCTAATTTAGTTTAATGTCTTCATATTTTCTGTCATTTGCAGTTGTATTTAATACCTGAATCCCTATAAAACGAAGTGCAAGGTCCTTTTCATTCGCTCGGCTTTATCGATGAGGACCCCTTTTAGTGTTTATTTTAGATTTATATGTACTCAACATTACCGATATTATCCTTATTAATGGGCTATATAAAACGGGTTAATTAAAGTGTATGGGGATGATTTATACAAAATATTACCAAGATCATCTATTCGAAATCCAAATTCATCAAAGTAGCGCTTGACTAACATTGGAACGTTGGATTCTGATGAAACTTGGTCATCCAGTTGTCTATATACACATGACGGTTTAAGTGAAGGGACAAGAGCAGAGAATGACAATATTTCGGTCAGCTCCTTTCTAAGGATTGGCATATCGAGTAAATTTTCGATTGAATTTTTTCGGAACAGTTGATTTTCATTTATTTCTGATTGCCCATTCAAATCTGATCTTGAGTATTTCAGGTTATCTTTTGAATCTTCAAGCAAAAAACCAGATAGATGACTAGTTGAAATGAAAATTATGTGAAAAGCATCATGGAAATATGATGGACACCAGGAAAGAACACAAAATGAATTCAAATGGTAAGACGGAATAAAGTATCCAAGACAAAGTGATTATGATTTCAACAAATATTCTTTACCGTTCTCTGCAAAATCAAAGTTTGTCTGTTATAACATCACTTAATACTAACATGGAATTGAATAATCCATTACGTAATTGAGTTTAAGCTTTTATGCCGATTGGGTTTTGTAAATATAAGGAACATTGGTGAGACTATAATTCATGGACTGTTTAGCGACGCTAGAAAAACATTCCTAATCTCCACCTACTAACTAGGACATAGTGAGGGTCCTGAACCAATGTGAGGAGTTAGAATTATGATTTTCAGTTGGTTAGGGTTAGGAACTAGTTTTAGGGCTCTTATCACGAACTGACATCAGCTAAAATGCCAGAACGCTATTTAGCCAATGGATGAATGAATTTCACGCCAAAATCCAAAGCCCGATATCTTATATCCCACTGGTTTGTACATAAATCACAGTCTCGTCCCAGTAGCTGTAAAAATTTGAAGTTAGTGCTAAGAATCATTACTGAGTATGATCATGACCAATGTAAACAGATGCACTAAAGGCTTCAATTAGCCTTTCACATACTATATTACTTATAGCAGCCTTTATATATCATTATCAACTACCAGCTGCAGTTTCTAAATGATTTAGAGGCTAAACTTGAAGGTGAAGTCCTGACCTGTCTATCATGCAAAACGATACAGTAGTCACAAGACTAGAACGTTTGACACCTCACATTCACTAAGTTTAGGTGAACAACAGGCAAGAATGAACAGTTGACTATGTGCTAAATATCTACGATCCTTTATAATAACTCTACACGACGAGTGATCACGTATCTGAGCTCCAGGCAAACTATTAGTACTCTTTAAAAAAGACAAACATGAACCAAGGGTAACAAAATTGGAGAACGTAACACGAAGTAAAAATTAATTGCACAAGCCTATATGTCTGGTTTAGAATAAAAGTAAAATATTTAGGTAGATTGCTCTGTTTAAGACGCTGTCACTAAAATGCTACGTAATTTTGGTTGGTTATGACTGTATTCACGCAAAAGAATTCTATGCAAACAATGTGTTTTTAATCTTTAGTCTAATAAACAACTGGAATACTAACCACTTTCGCGAAAACCACAGCTCTCGCTGGGCATTTATGTCGGCGGCTCGACCTTCGGTGACCTCAAGAAACTAAACAACACGGATGTTTTAAGGAATGCGAAACCTATGCACTCAAACAAAGAGAATTTCAGCCTAATGTATTAGTACATTAAACACCAAAAAATTTAAGGACAGCTCTGAAATTCAAACTTACTGAAAACTTAGATTTTCCTAACTGCTATGTCTTAACAGCCCGACCAACGACGACGGCGACGCCGCTAACCTTTTGGCTGAACAATACTCTCGGACATTTCAACTGACGCACATCAACTATACTGATGAAAGCTTCATCTACAACTCCAAAAAACTTTCCGAAGTGAGCTTGAGCGCTGACTTGATGTTCCGAAAACTGCAACACTTAAGATTAGACACTTCTGGCCTGGATATGGTCCATTCCGCCATACTGAGGGAAGCAGCCTCAATCCTGGCAACGCCGCTTAGCGTGCTGTTCTCACAATCGCTAAGTCGAGGAAAATCCTGGAAAATTGGAGGCTGACTCACATCACACCAATTTTCAAAGGAGGTCGACTCAGCGAACCTTCAAGTTATCGACCGATGGCTCTTCTCTCCATACCCTCAAAAATCATGGGGTCCTTGATATGCGATGGTATATATGACTATTTACTGTCCTTAAATTTCTTCTCACCTCAACGGCATGGTTTCAGGAAGGGTTATTCTTGTATTATCAGCCTGCTGACTGTGGTGGACAGATGGACAAGCATCCTCGATCACAAGGGGAGGGTTGATATCATCTACCTAGATTTCTCAAAAGTTTTTGATGAGGTTAACAATACATGTCTTATCAATAAGCTCAAACGATTGGGCATCAGACCGCCTCTTATCATTTGGCTTACTTCATACTTGAAAATCGACATATTAAGGTCAGGGCTAATTTCACCTTATCTCAGGCTATGGAATGTCCTAGTAGGGTCTTCCAGGACTCAGTACTAGGACCTCTTCTCTTCTTGGTTCACATAAATGATCTTCCCCAACAGTTAATGTCAGCCTTATTACTTTTGCCGACGACGTGAAACTTTGAAGAGAGATACGCAACCAAGACGATAGGCAGGCACTTCAGGAGGATCTGACTCGACTTCAAAGTTAGGCAGACGATAACGGACTTACTTTTAACACTTCAAAGTGTAAAGTAGTCCATCTGCGACATGTCGCAGACTGCAGTTACAACTTAGGTACCTCCTCTCTAGTAGTATCCCAAGTCGAAAAAGATTTAGGAGTCCTGGTGCCCTATGATTTACGCTGTGACAAAAATACCTTCCGAGCAAACCTTGCACTGGTAACATTGAAGCGTATTTTTGGCCAGTTTGACGGAAGAACATTCCATATAATCTTCAATAGTTTTATCCGTCCCCATTTAGAGTATGGAAACATAGTATTTCCCCCCTCATTCCAAAAGGATAAGGACACCCTGGAGCGTATCCAACGGCGAGCGACGAAATCAGTTCGAGGACTCAAATTTGAACCTTATGAAGAGCGGCTCCATTCACTTAACCTTTACCCATTAGAGTATAGACGTCTTCGAAGTAACCTTTAAATGGCTTACAGTATGATTAACACTTGTGGACATCCTCTTAAACACCTACTTAAGTTGAGCCTCAAGACAAATCTAGGGGGTAACTCGCAGAAAGGTGAGACACAACATAGGAGAACAGACTGTAGACACAACCCCCACTCCTGAAGGGTTGTTAGATGCTGGAATTCGCTGCCGGTTGAGCTGGTGCAAGCGACTTCCCAGGAGTCCTTTGAGATGCAACTTGATCTATTCTTTAGGACTAAGGATAGTATCATACTATGATTTACCAATTTCTTCTTCCTCTTTTATTGATAACATACCTAGGCTCCTGCATCGAGGATTTGGTGATTCCCTGCTACTAGACACGAATCCTGTCAAGCGAAAGATTCTTCTATTCCGTCCACAACCATTTGAATCATTTATAACGTGATCTGATTTTTCTGCTCAGAAACCAGAATTCAGTATCGATTGTATATTGTTGTGACAATCTGTTATGTAACCCTCAATTACCTTATACTTTAACATTATTAATAGCGTGTAGTTTTAGAACCTTCATAGCACCCACTGAGGTTTATCGGATAGCTTCTATTCGTTTCTCGTAGAAATTTCACCAAGTTGTTGGTTTATCACACCCAAGTAACTGTTAACAGTAGTGAGCAATGAGTGAGTGTTGAGAAGGGAAAATAGCAGCAATCTAGCTGTCAAAAAAGTAGATTTCCGTACGACGACATTATACAAAAATTTCTCATTTTATTTGATATTTATGCGTCGGAGAGTAGGTTATTCGAAAGTAGGACAGCCTTTGATAGGAAATAGTTGGACAAATATCATACAATTCTGAGAAGATATCACTTCAGTCAAGCTATCCCGCCTTTGTAATGACAAAGACACCGCAAAAAGTAAAACCATTGGACGAACAGAAACCTTAGATTTGGCAAGTGTTACAGCAGAAATATAACTGACATCCCAAAGACAATCGGTTAGACGACCTTCTAAAATTCAAAATAGACCGCAAAACATAGACAGTAAGCGATACCTCAGGAAGCTCTGCAAGCAACCAAAAACCAACCAAAATGACGTTTATTAATTTTAGTGGTTATTATAAAGAAGATCTGAACAGTGATCTATAAAAACGCGTACGTTAGGTTTTTTTCAGTTTGTTACACGTGTAAGAATAAGTTCCATAGACGTGCACTGCGAACGCGATGCTGAAAGAAATGAAGAACAGACGAATAGGAAAGCACTTGGATATGAACGGACAAGGGTATGGTAAGTTGGTAGGCACAACTCATACTAACTGACATCACTAGGATAAATTATTGTTAAAGGTAAGAAAATACAGTAATGAAGAACAGTAAGTTATAATGTATAACAAGGTGAAATGATTTCGAGTAGCGGATAGAAGTTTGGAGCCAGCACCTTGAGTTTCGTTCTTTTAAACCAAAAGTTTTAAGACGACTCTGCATGGTATTTCCAGAATCGTTCCTAAATATTTAAAATGCACGCACATTCCTACTATGAAGTCCACGATTTCACTGTACAGTGTCCCTTTAAATGAGACATAAATCTCGAGGACTAAATGTAGAGAAGATCAACCAATTAGTGATAGTTTTATTACTTAATTCATATGAGAAAAAACCACAACACCTGAGATTATTCTTGCTGAGCTAGAGAGGAATAAAAGGTTATCTGCTAGTTGTACAACAACTTAGGTTAAACGGTTGAGTTGACCAAAAAATCTAAGGAAACGTCAGAACATTAAAGCTAAAGTACTGATTCACTTCTTTATTTTGTAAAGGGATTATATTTACTATTTGCCTATACCGAATGTTGAAAAACTTTGTGTGTTTGGAAAAAAGCAACTTCATAGTCCCCTGTGTACTGTTCCAAGATTTAATTAAAGGTGTATTTGCTACTAGTTTGGTTTCTTCTATCAATAGAACAAGAGGTACCTGTAGAATTATGGTCTACTATGATATTAGTATTGCTCTAATAATAGACCTAATCCTAAATTTGTAGATTTGTCATGATATAACTGCCTAATCTATAAGATCTTACGTGGAAGTCACACCATCGACTACGCCAACTCACTGTATCGTATCAATTACCAATATATGATGTAGAACAAGGTTAATCTAGAGAAAGAACAATATATTTAATATGAATAGAAGATATAAGATAGCATCCAGCAGGGACCGCGCCTGCATGGCCGAGCCATGCCACTCGATCAACTCCAGTCCATTCAATTCATTGTCCGCGCCTTCTCCATTGTTAGGTATTTCTCCGCGTTAAATATTGAATATCTATTTTCTGAGTAGTCTCGTGTTCACAGCTTTGTGGATTGTGTGGCTATTGTCCAATGCCACTACACTACTCTCCCACCAGAATCAACGTGATGTTGGTTCGATACCAAATTGGATGGGATCGTCGCGCGCCGGAGGTTACCAAGGTGGTGAAGAATCCCCCGGGTAATGATAAGCTGAAAGATAAATCAGAAAGAAGGCGGCAGCATCTGGTCGGGAAATTTATGTAATAATTTTAAAATATCTGCCTTCATGCTTAACACACTTAAAATGACAATTTGGGTGAAGATTATTTGAGCTATAAAAAATGGGATTATAATAATAATAATATAACGATGCGTGTTAATAGCCGTTGGTTCATAACTTAACGTATAGGTAGTATTTTGTGTTTAGAAATATTAAAGTAATGAATATTGTAGAAATGTTAACATTGGTATTAGTTCTGGTTTAAATTATGAAATCAAATAACGATTATGCCGGTAAGTTGTCCATATGAATTGATTTCCAATTGCATCTGTATTAGTAGGCTAACTGAAGGAACAAAAGTATTACCATGGAGAATTCCAACTAGTGTTCCAGTTAGTTTGATACGGTTTATTTAGTTACGGGGAGATTTCCTCAACCTCATTTTTACTTGACCGTGATAGAATTTAGTAATACTACTAATACACATGAATGGTTATCAAAACAAAATTTGAATACGTGAGTGATGATTATATGAATTTGGGACAGATAGCTAGGAACAAATCGTTAAACATGAGTGTATTCGTTAGAGACATGCTCTAGACTCAATGTTCTGCGTTGCCATAGACTATTTATACATATTTATATCTGCCGGCTGATTAAGCATACAAGTTAATGGGAAGTATGCAGTTTATCATAAGGCGGAATACGATTTAATTGAGATATAGTGGTTATAAGTTATTTAAATCAGTTAGGCCTATGTGTCATATTACTAGGTGATGTGGTGCTGTAGGATGTATTCGGCTAAATAAGCTTTTACAAGATGATTAACAGCGAGAGATGCTCATGTGATTATCAGGAAGAACACAAGTTGTAACCAAGGGGAGTACACTCCCAACTTATGTCTATGATAATGGCTTGAACCTTAGTCAGTGTTGGGGTAAATTCGACATTGATGTTTTCAGTTTGCAGGAGA